GGGGAGAGGCAGCTCTCCCACACACTCACCAGGCCTGGACTAGGACTGGATCTGGGGATTCCCAGAATGCAACAGAAATTCCTTCTCTGTGGGCGGGGTGTGGGAGGGGTACTACGGAGTGATGGGGGGCATCCCAAGAGGGTGAAAGAGGGTGTCACCCACGCTATCCCTGGGCTGGGACCAGTAGGTCCCGCCTGTGCAGGGTAGCCGGAAGTTCTCCCACCCACTCACCGTGCCTGGGCTAGGACTAGTTCTGGGGCTTCACAGAACGCGGCAGAAATTCCTACTCGACGGGTGGGGTAGGGGAGGTGCTGTGGAGCGGTGGGGAGCATCCCAAGGGGGTGGAAAAGGGTCTCATCCACGCTGCGCCTGGGTTGGAACTAATAGGTCCCTCTGGCTCAGGGTAGTCAGAAGCTCTCCCACACACTCACCAGGCGTAGGCTAGGACTGGGTCTTCAGGCTGGCCTTTAACTTACTGTCCTCCCACCTCAGCCTCCCCAGTGCTGGGATTACAGGCATGTACCACCACAACTGGTTCTCAATATAGGTTTCTTAAGAGTTTAAAATATGTTCATTATTTGGAGAAATATATGACAGTACTTAAAATATATTAAAACATACATCAGCCAATTAGTGTCTGTATTTTAGTCACGCTGGTAGATTACAGTACATTTTAGGGGCACACTCATTATTTTTCCTTCTTCCAAGGAGGGAAAAATTTTTCCTTCTTCCTAGCAAGTCCTCCGTCTATTCTAGTAGCACAAATACTGTCTGGTGGCACTTGTTTAGGTGTTTGTTTCCACTTTTTGAGTTGTAGAACTTCCTCAAATCCAGGGCAATGGCAAGCACAATGAATGTGAACTAAAGACCACTTAAAATGCGCCAGAACCACGGAAACAGCACTCTTCATGGTGCTTTGGTGCAGCTTTCTGCAGGTAGACTTCAGAAGCCCCAGCGCCAGCCCCGAGAAGAGGCTGCCGCGAGCTGAGAAGAGGCTGTTGAGGCTCCGGGCGCTGCTCATCGCGTCCACTTGAAAAATGTAGAACCTTAACTAAAGGACTCTGAGAGTGCCAGGGCCCTCACTTCATAAATGCTCTCAGCTGGCGTTAGAAGAGCCAGGGATGCAGCGTTGCACCCGCATACACCATAAGGGAGGGAAGAGGCTGTCCTCCCCCTTTGTCTTGTCCCCTTGCAGGGTTGCTCCTGTGCCACACCACCCTGCCCCAGAGCCCGCTGATTATGATCTGAAACCTCTACATACTCGAAGCTAAATACACCTTTCCTTCCTCAACTTTGGGCTGTCGGGTATTTTGTCCCAGCAAAAAGAACAAAGAAACTAAGACCGCAACAAACTTAAAACTGCCCAGGGCTGGGGATCTAGCTCAGCCATGTACCACCTATCTGGCAAGCGTGAGGCTGAGTTTGACAGATTTCAAAAGTAAAATAAAACAAAACTGCCCATTGAATATTACTCTGCAAACTACCATGCTCCCTCTGAGCTTGAACTGAAACCTCAGTTCTGAAACCTGCCTGTCCCACACCATCTCCTTCAGGGTGCTAACTTCCCTAATTCAGGGAATCTTCTATACAACAGGCAACCTCGGATCACTTTCTGCATGCCACAACCCACCAGGCCTGTGGATTCCACACCCACCACACCCTGTAGCCCACCATGGACCCCATCCAGGGACCACCTCTGCAGACCCAGCCCTGCAAGCTGACCAAACGCCACCCGTATTAGTGCAACCTGCTCTCCTATGCCGCTGCCTGGCTCGAGCCCTTCTCCAGCCCCTCACCATCTTTAGGACATCTGTGAGCTCCTCCTCACAGTAGAGCTTTAGGAAGGCCCTCCACCCCAATCTGGCAACACCCCTCTAAACAACCCACAAAAAACAAAAACATTTTTCTAGTGATACTAGACAGTTTTCAGGTGGGTGAGGTTCTCTGAAAACTTCATAACTGCCATCTTTTCTGCCAGAAGACAAATAAGAAGAAAACAATGAACATGGTTTTGGCTGCCGTGACCAAATGCCTCCACTCCGACGTCAGCTGAGCATCAGCCCTGCACTGGCCTACAACGCACTCACGGACTTCTTCCAAAGGAACGTAGGGAGAAAAACCTAGAAGTCATGGAGAGCACAACACAGCACCAACAGAGCCTGCACTCAGAGCCCTGCCCAGGTCACACGGACAGAGGGCAGGGTGAGGCGTGGCAGCCTGCGGGCAGGGCGGACCCAGCCGCGCAGCGGGGGGTGCGGGGGGTGCCATGGGGCGTGCTGTGGAGCATGGTGAGCGCTGTGGGGCACGGGGGGGGGGGCACCATGGGGCACGCTGTGGAGCACGGGGGGGGGGGTGTGGAGCGCCGTAGGGTGCGGCGGCCCAGCCCCTGCCCAGCCCACCCAGCGTTCAGCAAGTGTTTAATGTACTGGCCACAGAAACGAAGGATACAGCTCGAATTCGGCGTCTGACAGGTAGCAGGAGGGTAGATCTGATAGGTCTATCATCTGCACAAACTGCAGGGCAGGGCCGTAGTAATGGAAAACCTGGAAGAGAAATCAACTGGTGTAACACTTTAAATGAAAACGAGGCAGACGACTTAGTGACTATGATTACTGACAGCTTTAGGTCAGGCCGTAGGATGCTACTTGTTACGCAGTGCTCAAGCCAGCACGTCACGCCTCCATAACGAGCAACTTCTGCTTCATTCTGCCCTTCTGAGTCGACAGATACAGAGATTTCTCAGCAATCAGAAAGAACTGTAATGGGGAAAAATAAGCACGGAAAGAGGCAAGCAACGGTGCATACAAGTTCTCAGCCTTTTCCCTTTACCAAAAGAAGGCCACCACACTGAAGAAACACATCAGCCGATGACCCATGCACATCTGCAGCACTGAAAAACAGCAAAAAAACCCACGACAGGATGAGCTTGGGTTGAGGGACAGAGATTTAAAGGAGAAGTCAGGAGCAAGGGGCACAGCGAGCCCAGCACGAAGAAGCTTCACCACTAGCCTGGCTACGAGTGTGTTCAAGGCCAGGCTGAACTGCAGAGAAAGCCTGTCTCAAAAAGAAAAATAAGCAAAATAAAGGAAAACAAAATAAAATACAGGAAAATAAGGGGAGGGAAAGGTGGGGAAAAGACTGAAGAAACTAGAGAGAAGAGTATTAGCCAACAAGTGTCAATTAACAGAGAAAGCCTCCCTCAGAGAAACAAATGCCCAATATTTTTCTGAGTAGAGCTTACCACTAAAATAGAGGGAACTGATAAAAGAGACTGGAGATAAATTGCCTTGCATGAAGAACAAAGCAAAGAAAATGAGAAATCAGGCATGGGGGCGCACTCCTATAATCCCAGAGCTGGGGAGGCTGAGACAAGAGGGTCACTATGAGTTCAAGCTGCATAGTAAGACCCTATACCAAACAAATAAATAAATAATTTTTAAAAAAAGAAAGCAAGTCACGAAGATACTATAGTTTCACATTTGCAGAAAGCAGATAATTCCACTGCATGCTTCTGTGTGTGTGTGTGTGTGTGTGTGTGTGTGTGTATGTGTTATAGAATATATACATACACGTAAACACAATATATACACATATATGGGGTGGGCTACCAGTTCTTTTTTTTTTTTTCCTTTTCTTTTCATTTTTTAGGGAAGGGTCTACAGAGTGTTCAGGGTCTCACTACTAGATTGGACTCATAGTGATTCGCCTGTTTACAGCCTCCCAAGAGGTGGGATTACAGGCACGCGCCATTCCCGTCTCAGCACGTCCCAGAGGCGGGGCCAGCATGGCAGGCCCGGGGATCGAAACCCGGCCCCTGTGCCTGCTTACAGGCGCTTTAATCCGCTGAGCTATTTGGCTGGCCCTACCAGTTCTTGAAGAGGTTATAACTATTATTACCCTTGATAGTATCAAAAAATTATATATATTATCACACTGAGTGTTTTACCACCAAAGAAAAGTTGAAGCCATTAATGTTATGATTTTTTTTATCTTAAAAACTTACAATTTCTGTAAAAGATAGTCATAAAAAGTTATTTCAAGTAAGCAATGCTATGAAATATTGGGAAAAAGGGTTCTCATCAGAAACTATAGCTTTTTTGTACTGCTTTCCAATCATAATGTATTAAGTGTCCATTTATATCCTTGTAACTTCAAGACCACTATGTTTAGTAAACTCTTACAATGAATCTCTTAAAGTGGATTTCAAAAGTGTTTCTATATAAATAACTCTTACGTTATTTTTGTAGTGTTAAAGAAAGCCAGCAATGCTCTTTTCTAAAGATTTATAATTACTTTAATGACTATATAGAAGATCTGATATAAGAATTAGCACTCTTAAACTTACATTAAACCTATGTCAGGTTCTGTGTCAGATGCTCTTCTCGTATACCTTACTGAATGCCCACAGTAACTCTGTGAGAGGGGTGTGCTATTCCTGGTCCCATTTCTACAAATGTATTAATTGTATCGAATACATAAAAAGGGAAAGAGCCAAGTTTCAAACCCAGGTCTTTCAAACACAAAAACTCTTCCTTCCACTCCATCATGTTCCCTTCAAGTAAGTCCAAACCCAGGGAATGTCAGCCCTCTATTGATTCGAAGTTAGGAGCACTGTGTCAAATGACAAAGCCTGTGAGGATCGTGGGTTCAGCATCTAACTCTGACAACAGCACAACTACAGCACTTAATTATCAGGATTAGAAGAATTATGCAAGTGAGCACATTTCAGTACACATCAGTAATCCAAAATTCAAACATTTGACAATTATAAAAATATTCATAAATGCATGTTGGGAAAAAAAGTTAAACATATAATTACCTTTGGCAAAATATCTTTATCCTTTGGTGGTGTTATCTTTTTGGCACGAAAGCAAGTATTCAAATAAGATGTACTAAAAATATCAGGTGTGACTCCCTTTAAACAAAATGCAGGAAAACTGACTTCAAATCCAAACTGAAACAAATCCAAGAGAACACAGTTTCAAGCATCGTGAATAAAATCATAAAGATTCATACACTGTCCTTATTGCAATGTGTACGCTGAGAGGAAACCCATGCGTACACCTATTTTTTGATTCCTCAGCTCACAGGGTAGTTCTTCCTCCGAGGCACACAGCTTCTGTCTTATCCTACGTGGAACTTCCCGTGACATGCTCCCCCTAACCCTTTCTTAGCTGGCTGGAACACGTTAGGCACATCCTTGAGACCCAGGACCGAACGATTCCCTCTGCGCACACATGCTCACGACCTGGCCTCCCACCAGTCTGCAAGTCCTGCAAAGTCAGAAGCTGCCTTGCTCACTGCTGGGTGCCTGGGATGGCGCCTCTCGTGTCTCTACCCTCAGCATTTGGCTGCTGTGGAGAAGGTAACGACTGCAGAGGTCATGGCAGAGGCGCCCGCAGCAGGAACAGGAGCAGAACAGCAGCAGCTAGGCACTTACTGACTGATTCTTTTGTACTTTGAATAATTCTTAGAAAAACCTATGGGCCAGAACTATACTATCCGTACAAAAACTATGACACCAACATGTCACTCAGAACTGGAGCAGAGAAAGTGCTGGGTCGAAATGTAGCCAAAGAACCTCAGAATGGATGGTCTCAGTCACTGTCATACCTCTTAGCGGAGGGATTTAATCACTAAAAAATGAGTTCAAGTTTTAAGGACTACTGTAGATTTACAGATATTTAATTTCTGTTTAAGAGGAATAAAAGAACCCCATGAAAAAGACTGTTTTTATCTGCCTAACTGCAAGCACACCATTGCAGAAAACGCACACAAATGCGTTCAGCTCTATGGTGTCACCTATGAAACCCACTTGGTGGCCAGCAGGGTGGCGCCCACACAGCATCCCAGCACTGCGGGAGGCTGAGGCAGGAGGACGGCAAGTTTGAGCCCAGCCTGGGCAATGTAGTGACTGAGTGGGAGTCTGTCTCAAAATAAAAAACATGAAAACTGTCTGAGGATGGAGCTTAGTGCAAACGCCCCTCTTGATTCAATCTCCAGTACTGCAAAATTGAAGATAAAAACAAAAACACTTGCCACAAAATTTGATCTGCAGTTTAGCTTTCCTGAGAGAAAGGTGAGCAACTGCAAACCAACGAGACAGACCCAGCACCCCGATTCCTGCCATCTTCCTGGAGGATTCAAGAGCCCTAGGAGTGCGAGGACCGAGCTGGAACAAGCCATGCCAAATGCCGCAGGGGAACCGAAGGCCCACGCAGCTCCCATACTGCCCTGAGCACCACGAAGAAATGTCCGGGTTTAATTCTGCCTAGCTACAAAAATGTACACTAGATTCTTCTTTCCAAATGTACACAACTTAGCAAGACCACCAAACATATTCATTCATAGTAAAGATAAAAAAATTCAACTGGGCTTTGAAGAAATTTAGTATTAAAGGAGTCTAAATAACTTAATAATCTCATTTTGTGATAGAAAAATCTGGGTTTTAAGTTAGATTAAAAAAATATTCAGAATTATAGGGGTACTTGGTAGGAAGCTAACCAGTAAGTAAACTTGCCTATACTATTATTTTTGCAGTATATCACATACATAATAAAATAAAGCCACTAATGCCAAGTTATGTCCCAGTATTACATGTTAAAATTGTACTACATAAAATATCACCAGTGACGATTTAAATTAAATCTAATTAAAATCAAATAAGTTAAAACTTTAGCTCATCAGCTGAACCAGTCGCACAGGAAGTGCCACGCAGCACTATGCGGCAAATGGACCATTACATTAGCACAGATATAGCACATTTCTATTACTGCGGAAAAGCCCCATTAGTGCTAGAGCGGAACACTCATCTGGGGCGCATTTCCAAGGGACTTTGCAAACTCCGCGCTGCGAGGCTGAAGCGCCTGCTCTGTCCCCTGACACCTGAGAAATCCGTTTACCTTTCTTTCCCATATCTGAATCTTTCCCCTCCATAATTCCTTTGCGTCAATCACATTTCTGAGCTCTTCTAAATATACAACATTAGCAGAAAGGTATTCTGCAATCTTCTGACAGTTTCTGTTTAAAAAAAAAAAGAGCAAGTTACACAATTATATTTTACGGTTATAGTTTAACTACAAGGCTAAGGCAAAGCTCACATTGCAGTGTGTGCCTGTAAGGGTGCTTTGGAAAGCCCACGGTGTCAATCGGCCGCCCGAGGTCAGCCACACACTGACAAAATGACGTCTCCCCACAAACTAAGAGTGCTCAACCTTCCACTAAGGATGAGGACAGACCGTCCTCAGAACTGTAGCTTAAAGATGACAGCGATCTAGACGGAAAGGCCACTCCCTGCCACACTGTCTATGGGGCTCGACGACCGCATGTGTCGTAGATGCTGCTGACCATTAGCAACCAGCGCTCCCATGGAAAAAGACGGAGGCTTCCACTTCCTGAGCACACTTGCATCTGGGAGTGTGCCTGGTGCAGAGTCAGCAGTCACTACGCAGTGAATGAAAGAACTCATGAATAAAGTCAACTTAAATACCAATAAGAGCCCAAACTGGCAAGTACAACTGATTCCTACTGAAACGCCACAGAACACAGCAATGTGCACCTGTGTCCATGGTGGCATGTGACACGAAGAGCAGACGTGACACTGTAAACCCAACCTATCCATGTACCCAAGGGGTTCATCACACTGCTCACTGGACAACCTGAGACTCCTGGAAAGCACACAGAGAGGCAGGCAATCCTTGCTCGCTAACAGTGATAAGTCACAATCAATAATATTTAATACAACCTTAAAACATCTTGGGGGCTGGGGAGATAGCTCAGCAGACAAAACACCTGCCTGGTAAGCACAAGGACCTGGGTTCAATCCCTGGTACCATATGCCATGCTGGCCCTGCGCCAAGCCAGCCACTGAAACTAGGCATGGGGGTGCACACCTGTAATCCCAGCACTGGGGAGGCTGAGATAGGAGGATCACTATGAGTCCAAGATGCGTAGCGAAACCCTATACTAAATACATAATTAAATTGAAAATTAAAAAAAAGTCTTGGGAATCTAAGACGAAAAAAATCTAGATTCTTTGCAACTTGTATGACATAAATGTTTACCTTGCCCCATTAAATAGTTTTCAAATGCTGAGTCTAGTCAGACAGGGTAGCTACCTGGACAATCAAACAGTAACAGTGAGCAAGCTTACGTCTCACAGTGATCTCCAGCTATAGTGATCTTTGCCGAGTGCCATTCTCTCAGATGTTTCAGGGCTCCGACGGCAGGCAAACAGTCTTTCAGCTTCGGAGGGTCTTTGTCAGAGGGCAGCAGTATTACGTCTGTCATTGCTCTACCTGGAAAGGGAAACAATACTGCTGTAGTTTTTAAAAGGCATTAGACCTGAAGGGTCTTAAGATTCTACCTGAACATTTGGATTTTAGGTTTATTTAGGAGATGTAATGGAGTATTGTCATTTTTACTTTCTGAAATTCTTTAAAACAATACAAATTGGAATTCAAAGTTTTAAATATCCATCTTTTAATTTAAAGCCCAGTTATCTTGAAACAGCCAGTGCACACTAGACAACCGTGGGCTGTCCCATCATCTCTTGCTGATTATGTAGCCATGGTGAATCATACACACTGGCCTGCAAATTATCAATACCATTGCTATAATCCACAGGGAAAAAGAAAACTGCGATTTCATTGTGTTCCTCTACTCTTGATTTTGTTACCCAAAAGGGAAAAAAATAGTATAAAATTACAATGCTCAAATAAATTATTTCTCTTTAACAGTAAACCATTTAGCAAAACCAATTATACTGACATCACTGGATTCTGAGAAATAAGACTAACTTGGGACCAGTTTAAATTTCTTGAAATTATAAATTTACTGAAGGACTAAAAAAATCAAAATGAAACAAATGCTAAATAAAAATTTGATAAACTCAGTCCTCTAATTTGCCAAAAAAAGACTATTATTTCGATGCATATTTTCAACCTGATAAATTTTAAAAAATGAAGAGCTATTGATGTAGCTTAGTGGCAGTGTATAGGCGTATCATGTACATAGCCCTGGATTCAATCACTAGCACCAGGAAAAAAAAAAGTCTATACCAATACTAGTGAACCTATGGCACACATGTTATTGTTTCTTTTAAGACAAAAAATGTTAACATTTGTGTTGTTTTTTTCTAAACTAAAATCTCACTATGCAGGGTGGATTGCACTGTTGGCACTTGGTGATGAATAAGTGGATTTGTGGCTGCAGTCAGGGCCCTCAGTCCTAAAAGGGTCGCCATCTCTGATCTCTGCTCACTTATTGCCACATGGTTATTTTCCATGTACGACTGTTCGCACTAGAACGTGGTCTTCGTGGGCGCAAGGATTAAAAGGCTGCGCGCTGTGAGACTCTGCGCTGGGGATCGGTGCCTCCCACTCGCCACCCTCCCCGCTCTACACCACGCGTGGCAGGAAACACGGCCGACTAGGATTTGCTGAGTAAAGAACCTGCCCTCGGGAGGATGTTCAGAAAAGGAAGCCCCTTCAGGAACACCTGTGAGGGTCAAACTGCATCAAATTTTATGGGACACCTACTTGGTTAATGTAAAAAGAAAAGGTTAACTTAGGATAAAAACAGTTTAAGAGCACTGTGACATAGTATTTCACAAAATATGCTTTGCGTTTTAGGAAAAAAACGGTTCCACAAAACAACAGCCAAGCACCGAGCTTCTTCTACTGCGGACTGCTCCACACGACATGGCCATTAGCCCTGCCATGAAAGAACGTATCCCAGTGGTCTAGTTTATGAAAGCTGCTGTCCCAAGAGCAGTCTACTGGGTCAGTGTTCTATACGTAGAAAATATTCTGAAAAATAATGTCAAGTCGTGGCAAGATTGCTTTTCAGTAACAAATAAGAACATATGAATGTTTTAATTCTAACTTTTGCTCAGAAAATAAAATGTTGTTTGGAAAATAATAAAAAAAAACACTGTAATGCCTCAGTAACACACTTATTAAAATAATGCAGTACAGGGCTGGGGAGATAGCTCAGCGGTCTAAGTGCCTGCCTGGCAAGCACAAGGACCTGGGTTCAATCCCCAGTACCACATGCTGTGCCGGCCCTGAAACTGGGCCTGGTGGCGCATGCCTGGAATCCCAGTGCTGGGGAGGCTGAGATAAGAGGATCACTGCAGGTCTGAGCTACATGTATAGCGAGATCCTGTATCAAATAAATAAATAAATAAATAAATAAATAATTTTTAAAAATTAAAAAAATGCAGTACATTTTTGTACAACTTTCAATTATACCATTTCTATTAGTCTATGTTTGTGAGGCATAATAATCACAAACATGTAGGGGAACTGGCACATATTTTTCATTTTAAGTTTCAAAATGAGAATATTAGTATAAAGACTAAATTCATGACTCATTCATAAAAAATTTTACGGAAAGACACAAGTTATTGGAAACACTCATCGCATTACCAGGAGCTGGAAGCTTGTCTGCTAACTGATGCAAATTCTCTGCAGATTCTTCATACAGCCTAAAACAGAAAGAAGAAAAACACCTCTCTGTAGAGAACTGGTTGTCATGGCAGATGACGACGGTCCGTGTGCTTAGCGCCCATGCACGACCACACTCATCCCAATGACGACCGAATTCTGCTACTATCGCCACCAAGGCACGTGACTGGCACAGGCAGAAGCTAGGACCCGAACACTGCACACCACGTGGCATCAGAAGACACTGTGCACTTAGCAAAATAAAAAGGGAAGCAAAAGCAGGGCGTGGAGGCGCACACCTGTAATCCCAGCACCCGGGAGGCTGAGGCAGGAGGATCACTGTGAGTTCCAGGCCAGCCTGGGCTACAAAGTGAGTTCCAGGCCAGCCTGGGCTACAAAGTGAGTTCAAGGCCAGCCTGGACTACAAAGTGAGCTCAAGGCCACCCTAAACTGCACAGTGAGACTCCGTCTCAAAAAGACAAAAAAAAAAAAAAAAAAAAAGAGACAACATCCCTAAATTATATTTTATGTTAAATATAAAAGATAGCTATTAGACACTGTTCTGAATCTTCAAAGTAAGCTTTCACTAGTGTTTAAAAATAAAATACTGCTTGTCTTTAAACTACCTTGAAAGTTCTGATTGGAGAGCACTGTCATCTTCACATCCTTTAATGCCTGACGATGATGAGAACTTATCCCTGTGATGAAATTTTCTCAAGAGTTGGTCACATAGGTAATTAAGTCCATTACTATAAACTGACACTGCCCCAAAAAAGCCATAGAGGATAAACTATGGTTTTCAGGCTCCCTCTTGTGGAAATAATTATGAAGTCACCACAAGTTTTACTTTAAGCTTGTTATCTTTTTTTTCTTTTCTTCCATAATTTTATTGAGAGACATATAGCAATGAGACAGTTTCAAATCAAATTGGTAGGACAGTTTCAATAATTAACACATTGCATATTCTCTTCCTAGTGGTTATTTGCTGTACAAGATGCGGACTTGATATCCTATTTATGAACACTGTTAGAACAAATCTCTCTATTCATTAAGAGAATGTGAATGCTTTGGCTTTTTTTTTTTTTTTTTTGGCGGAACCGGGGATTGAACTCAGGCCCTTGCGCTTGCCAGGGAAGCTCTTATTCCACTGAGCCATCTCCCTGGCCCCTCATTAAGAGAATGTAACTATTTATCTGTCCTATGCATATTGAATACACAGATACAAAATGAACATTCATCTGTATCCCCTTTTTTGTTTAGTTCCGTCATTTGAATATTATAGGTGTGTTAACTCAGCAAAATATTCTAAAAGAGTCCAGTAGTCCATAGTAGTACTGGGTCTTCCACTTGACTGGCGGTGTCAGAAATTGTTGACCTGAGTCCCCTACAGCTCAACATAACAGCATGGCTTTACTTTTTATTCTTCGCCTTTATACATTTCTGCTGGATGGTTAAGACCAAGGTAAAGCACGACCTATGCAACAAGAGTTGTAGCTTTTGGGTCTGATAAGGTCAGTGAGATCCCCTCAGGATTTATTCGGAGATCCTGTACCTCAGACTGTAGAACCTTTGTCAGTGTCAGCCATGTGGATGAGTCACGGCCATTGCTTGGCCAATGTGCTCTTTGTGAAAGCCTGAGAGAATGTTTTCTCTCCATGTGACTCTCTTTAGGCACATTCTACATCATCGATCACTTTCCTTTTTGGTCCCATAATCTCCTTGATCAGAAAATTTGGGACACTACTGAGTTGCATGACATTATAGTACAAGTTCTCATATCTCATATGTCCTGAGTCTTAATTGACCTTGGGAGGCTAGGGCCAAAATGTTGGCTCTCCTTGCGGCCCTCCTTTTTCTCTAATTTTGGTCTGCAAACATAGGCTGTTAACCCTCCATAAGAGAAGATTATTGTTATTACCATACAACCTAGGCTGTTAAGAGCTTATTATCTTTTAACGTGGTGGGAAAACATGGGTTGGCAAGAACTTTAAGGCACAATGAAGGGCACATCAGGAAAGGTCTAAAGGACCTCAAGCCCTCATGGGCGGGAAGAGAAAGGTCTAGAAGCCACATGCCTGGCCCAAGGTCGCACAGCAGGGACCATGCAACTGACCCCTGTGTTCAGGCCATGGGAACCAGTACAAAGGACACGAACAGGTAAAGGAAGGCTTGAAGCCTGCACAATTCCCAGATATACTGTACAACAAAAGCAGTGATCTGTCCCGGATGATGGAAGCGCTATGAGTCAGGCTGGGAGGTTTTATAAAGAAAGAATGAGCGTGAGCTGTCATCTAGAAACTTGCTGTTCTGACTCAAAATGTGAACTCGACCACAGAGCCTCAGGGGTCTTTGTGGATCCGAAGAATTATATGGAATGCTGCAGATTTGTGTACATTTGTAAAAATCACAGATTTTCAGCCTCAAACAGCAAAAGGAAATAACACTTTGGATTGAAAGCTATTAACTTAATGACATTTCTAGTTAAGTTTTAAAATACACTATCAGTCAAAATTTACCTTCAAGTAAGTGATGCAATAATTAAAATACTATTTTATAATTCTCACAATGTAAAATTAAAACATTTGTAGATATCCATTTGTTCATTTCATTTCATTTTGTTTTTTGGTACAGGGTCCAGAAGGATCATAGTGATCCTTCTGTCTCAGCCATCCCAGGTATGCGCCACCACACCCAGCTTTCTCTTTTCTTTCTATTTCGCTAATTGCAGGGCCAAAACAGCATGCAGTACCAGGAATTGAACCTGGGCCCTTGCTCTTGCCAGGCAGGCGCTTAGACCGCTGAGCTATCTCCCCAGCCCCCACTTGTTCATTTTAAAGAACTTATTCTGATGGAAAGTCCAAATTATTCAAAATGAAGAGCTAAAATTTTGAGTTAATATTTCCTTATTTTGTTGTGAAAACATGCAAACTTCATTTTCCCGACTTAGAAGAACTCTCTAAAGTTAAATATTTTAAACATGGTATGAAGAGTACAAGGCATACTCAGCCAAGGACAGGGACTCTCTGCTGTTCCCATCCTCCTCTTCAAAGCACTCAGCAGCACTTGCGCATTCTTCAGCATTGGTTTGGAGAATGTCTTCAATCTTATCTTTTTCTGCATCAAAATGTATCTCTTGCCAATCAGAGCTACAAAACTTAACACATCGACAGAGACAGACAGCGTTAAAACAACAGCTGCGCACAACTCACGAGCATAAGAAGGCGTGGCTCGTGGCAATTACCTGGTAGAAGCCGGATATCGCCTGCACCGCAAAGAACCACTTCTTGGAGCCAGGAACGCCACCCACTGAACAGGCTTGAAGACAAAAATCATGCTTATTACAGTAAAGGTGGACCACACATCAATCGGTGATACGCTACACATACTTAAAAAGTTGTGTACTATGTAAACATATTCTATAGTTCTCCATAATCAATCCAGCCATCTTTTTAAAAAATCTCTGCTAAAAATGCAGACAAAACAATCGGCTTCAAGAGCAAAATTGTAAAACCCTTTGCATTAGGTCATCATAACACAAAATCCGTATCATTTGAATCTTTTAAAACTCAATCAAGTCTACTCGAAAGATGTCAAAAAATATACATATGCTTATTACCAGCACCCAAGCCATGCAAGTCATCTCTCGCAGGAGACCATCTGGCTTGTTTAGCTTGACTACAGAGATGCTCTTCTTGGAAAAGGCAAGAATGTTCCAGGAGGATAAGACGTTAAAGGCCGCTGGAGGGCGCCTAGCGGAGGAACCCAGAAGACTTTAGAGTGGGTTACAGAAACCAGACCCAAAGGAGAGGTGACATGGAGTGTGGGGTCATTCATGGAAGCCAGATAAGATGCTCAGCGCCCACCACTAGCTCATTCCCATAATCAGCAGGACGCTTTACCTCCTGTTTCCTTAGGAAAGCAGGAGCCACCAGCAATCACACCTTTCAGGAAAGGCACAGCCCCATCTGCACCCCGTTAGGTCTGTTATCCTGCAAGCTCCTCTGAGACCCTGGCCCACTTATGCCAACCTCTTCCTCTCAGCAGCATTTTTTTATGTATTTGGTACAGGGTCTCACTAAGCAGCTCAGATCCATAGCAATCCTCCTCAGCCTCCCCAGCACTGGGATTACAGGCGTGAGCCATCACGCCCAGACTCAGCTGTGGCTCAGCATGCTTTGGGGCCAAGGCCAGCAGAGCATGCAGGACCAGGATGAAACCCTGGTCCCTGAGCTTGCCAAAGCAGGAGCTTAGTCTGCTGAGCTATTTCAAGGGCCCTCATTAGCATTTAAATACAATCATTTCTCAAATTAGTATTTTTTAAATGAAGTCCTTTTAAATCCACTCCCTTTTTCAGTGACTACTATAACTTCACCTTAGTGAAGAAATTTTCTGCCTCTACTTCATTGTCTGCTTTAGCTTATCAACTTTCCTCTAAATCTATTTAAATTTTCTTTGTTCTGGTCTCCAAAATGCTGTTGAAACTACACTCACCACAGTCATCAATAACTGATGTACTAAATACAATAGTTTTCAGTTTTGTTGCTACTCCACCTCTCAGTGGAATACAACAAAAGAATCAATGATGACCTCTCCACTTGACTTTTTCTTTAAAATGTGTGATTTATGTGACTGTTTCTCTGCCTGCTCCTTGTCAGTCCTTTAAAATCTGGTGTCAGTTCCTCTAACTGTTGGGATTTTGTTTTACATTTGATATTCTTCCCACTATTGAAAGCAACCTCTTTTTTCTCATGGCTTCAACTGATATCCATACATCAGTGACTCTATATTCAAGCCTCCATTTTGGAGGCAGAAATGGCAATTACGTTACTCAGAAGCATTAATAATAGAGTTTTAATGAGACAAAAATTCTCCTCTTAAAGCCATATCGCCTTATATGTATTAAAGAAAGGCAAGGGCTGGCCAGATAGCTCAATGGGCTAAAAAGCATCTGCTTAGGCAGAGCACAGCGGCTGGGGTTCGATCCCTAGCCTGCTGTGCCGCCCTACTCCTGGGGTGCACTGAGTCAGCGATTGAGACTAGGCATGGTGGTGCGCGCCTGTAATCCCAGCACTTGGGAGGCTGAAAACAGGAGAACTGCTACCAATCTAATCTACATAGTGAGACCCTGTAGACCCTGTGCCAAACGCATAAAAAAAAAATGAATAAAAACAGGCAAGAATGTTTTATAAAGGAAGTAAAATTCAAGTTGGTGAAATACGAGTAATTTCGTAACAACTCTATTACATTTAAGATTTATCTGGCAGAGAAAGGTAATGTCTTCCAGGTTTAAAGACCCTTAATTTGCCTCTGTATCCCAGTTCCCCTTGCAAAGTCAACAATACTTCTCAATACTTTAAAAGACCAAGTTAACTTTTTTTTTTTTTTTTTAATTTAGGACAGGGTCTACATGGTCTACAGGTTCTCACTGCGTAGACTGGACTCGTAGTGATCCTCCTGTTCACAGCGTCCAAAGTGCTGGGATTACAGGCATGCGCCACCATGCCCGGTCTCAATTGCTGTCTCAGCGACCCGGGCTTGGGGTCCCCGGGGATCAAACTGCAGGCCTCTACGTCTGCCTAAGCAGGTGCTTTAATCCGCTGAGCTATTTGGCTGGCCCTAGCTCAAGTTAATTAAACTAATTCCCAATATAAATTCTATGGCCGATAAATGAGGCACACTTACCAGGGAAGGTGCTGTCACACGGGCTGATGGAGGCACTGATGCTTCTTTTTAGGAGGTGATAAACATTTGTGGCCATGAAGTCTGAAAAGCAAACCTAATCTGAGTCAGTGATCCCGAAGCTACAGAGCAGAGGCCATGCCAATTTCACCCTCTGAGAGAGACTCTCAAGAGCAGAGTGGAGTACGGAAAATAACTACGCACATGTTAACCAATAAGCAGAGAAAATAGGAAAGCCCTTGGCCTACACATGTCGGCACAAATCAAAAATTCCCTCAACAGAACGAGAAGGCGTCGTGACAACTTCTACACGGTCACATTCATTTGTCCTCCTCAAAAATCCGCTTGATCAAAACAAGCAAACGCAGTAACCAAAAGCGACTAGATCCGTCAAAATCCTTCGCACTTACCGTCCGCTGCTTCGCCTGCGACGCTTGGTGCGACGCCACCTCCGCCGCAAGGCGAGCGCGGGTCGGCAAGCCCCGACCTAGCTCGGCCCTCTCGGGACGGCCCGCAGGGAGCTCACGGGCGGCATGAGCACTCACTGAGGGCGTAATCTCGTGAACGAGGAACTTCTAGACGAAGGCGCGGGGGCTCCATTTTTCCCGTGCCCGGCATTTTTGGGCGGACATCTCGCGCCCAGCCTGGGCCCGACTCCCGAGGCTGCGACCTCCGGCTCGCCTCGGCTCTCTCGGGGTCGGCGCACCGCGTCGCGGACCTCCGCCCCCGCCCCGCCGCTGGACTCGGGCTGCCCTCCCGCCGCCCGTTCGCGCCCTTTCCGAGCCCCGCGCTCACCCGGCGGCTTCTCGGTACAGCCACCCCTCGACACCTCTGGCCCATGCTCTGCCTCCTCGCCGACCGCTGATGGAAACTTTCCTTCTCCCCAGATCGCCAGCAGCACGTACCGATCCATCTCCCGGCTCCAAGCTACATTTAGGTATCAAAACTGCCGCGCCTCGAAGGCACTTCCGGTTTCCTTCCGTTCAGTTCAGCTGGAAATTGTGTCCGCCCTCCACCTTACGTAGGTTTCCAGGAACTTTAGAGAATTCTTCTAGGGCGTGATTCCCTCGATAATGCCATTATTTTCTCCTGTTAGCGTAGGAAGACTGGAAGGAACCCAAGGAAAGAGAAGAAGCGAGGAGCCCTGGGCGGGCTGGGAACCGTAGTGCCTGGGTCGCTGCGTTTCCCATCGAGCTGGTCTTGCTGCCGGCCCAGCCTGACTTCCGGGAAGGGGAGCCCTGGCGGCCGGGGACGTAAACATGTCGAGCTTCTCTCGGGCGCCCCAGGTGAGCCTGAGTCCTGTATCCCGACGCTGTCCCTCAGACTGGTTAGAAAGAGAGCAGTGGTCCGGCGGGCTTAGTAACGAAGCCGAATCAGGAAAGAAGCCGGCACCCGCGGCCGAGAGGTGCCTGGGGAATGCGGGTGGTCACAGGCTGGCTCGTGGGTTTGGCCGCCACTGGCAGCTGTTTTGTCGTCGTTCCCTCTTTTCAGGCAGCGCTTTTCATGCCTTTTTTTTCCTAGAAAAGATAGAGATAATCAGAGAGGTAGTTAGGGGGATCGCGTCGTGCAGCGTTGAAAAGCCGGGTCCGGGGAGGGTTTTGATCTCGAGACGACACGGTGTTTGCGGGCGTGACCGCAGGTGGGGAGCGGACGCTCGTGCTGAACAGGACCGGGGACTTTGAGGCTAGAGCCTGTAGGGTTTCTTGGAAAACTAAACGGGGGCAGACAGCAAAAGAAAAACTAGGGCTGCTGTCGGAGGTTCGGGTGTGGGCCGCTGGAGGAGTGCTGTCCGAAGACGCGGGGACCGAGAGGGACGCTGGCCTCAGGAGAAGGGGTGGCTTGCTTTCCTATAGGTTGCACGACGATTTAGCTCAGTGCTGCAAAGGTGATTCCTATGAAGTACGTATGAGAGCATATAGCAGTAAGGTAATTATTTCATTTTAATTATAGTGTCCTCGTTTTCTTTTTGTTTAAGCAATGGGCCACTTTTGCCCGAATGTGGTATCTCTTAGATGGAAAGATGCAGCCCCCCGGCAAACTTGCTGCCGAAGCATCGAGAAGGCTTCAAGGGCTGCATAAGCCTGTGTACCATCAGATAAGTGAGTATCACTGTAGCCTGCTGTTCGCAGCCGCCAGGTCACCACGTGTCAGGCTAGCCTTGCCCTTAACAAGGAGGGCTGTTCTTATGCCAGAATAGAAGCCCGGTGGAATTTAACTGGGCTGTGTTTAAGGCTTTTTTGTTCTGTACGTTAATTTCCCTTCCTCCGAAAACTTATGAGGGGACTAAAACTGCATTTGGCTTCTTCGTGGGAAAGACTTGTAGAATAGTTTGGGACAACCCATTGCTGAACAAAATTAACAGCAGCCCCAACTCACTTAAGTGTCCTCGTTGGTACTGTGTACCTGCTGTTGTATTGTACACTTGTGCATGTCTTTTTATATGATGCTGTGCATCGGAGTGGAGAGTTTTTAAAATAAAGGACCACTCGTCATCTTGCCTTCTCTTTTAAAATTTCTTTTCCAAGACAGTTATCTAGAGCTGGCTGGGTATGCAAGCTTACATTTCACTTTTTCAGATTAAGAAGTTTGCTTTTCTATACCCTTTTTCTAAAACAATGCAAACTATGAAGAGGTTGTATTCTAGAAGAGTTCTACTGTGGGTAGTTTGATTTGACTTCGCCAAGACACTGCACCTGTACCAGATTCACACACTAGCGTTTTTCAGTCCTTCAGCAGCTTTTGCTACAATCCGTCACATTTTTTAACTTTCACTCTAAGGTGCGTCAGACATACAAAGGGGTATCCATGTATGTGTATGTGTATTTTAAGGAAAGTCATAGTAGGGATTATAATGATGAAATGAATACTCATACAATCAGCACTGCTTCCTTTTTTTTCATTGCAAACAAGGTTGTATTACTGGTCAGGTACCCTCGTCTTGATGCATACATGGAGGAATTTTTTTCTGAGATTTTTTTCTCTCAGTCCTCAGCCAGCCTCTGAGTGGTCCGTTGCTCGCTCTGTCGCTAAGACTTGAGCGGTATTGCAGTGCTTTTTATTTTGGACTACAGGAGATGTGAGATGCTCGCTGTGGTTTTTTGCGCCTTTTCCCGATTATAAATATGTTGTATCTTTTCATTAGTTTCTTGGCATTCATAGTCTTCTGTGAAATTTCTTTGTGTATGTTTTATTCATTTTTTTCCATTAGATTATTTCTTTCACTTTTTTAAAAATTCTGAACAGGAGCTGGTGAGATGGCTCAGTGGTCTAAGGCACCTACTTAGAACAAACTAAGCTAAACAAAGCACAGGGACCGCGGTTCAAACCCCCAGCACCACATGCCAGCCAGCCCCGCCCTCTGGTGGGCTGAGCTGGCCACACACACAAAATAAATAAATAAATAAATAAATATTTAAAAAAAAATAAAAATTCTGAACATTTTTAAACTTAAAAAAAGCCCAAGGAATTGTACGGTGAATTTCCTCTTCCTCTCCAGCTAGATTGCAGGGCTGGTAACTTTCTACCATGTTTCTCACTCAGTCAGTTGAAAATGTTACGGATTTCACTGTGGTGCTCTTAGCCCAGATGCATTAGCACATATCTGCTAAGAGGGCAACGAAAATACCTTGCCACACCTAAGAAAACAAGCAATAATTGAATTGTACATGTGTTTAGCCTGTGTGTTTTAAAATTCCCCAGTTGTGCCGAGGGGTCTTCTGTTACTTAAATAATCAAAAAAATGACCCATCTGTGATTTTTTTGTTGCCTTGTTGTGTTCCATAAGTCTCGTTCAGTTGAGAATACTAATTTTTTTTGTCATTGTGAAACTTTGGAGGAATCCAGGCTAAGTTTTATGGAGAACCTTCTCCCAGAAACACCGTCTTCAGTTGTTTCCCCGGCGCCACACTCCCCCTCCTCCCCTCTGCTAACAGTTGTCTTCAGGCCCCTTTGCTGACCTCAGCTTCTGAAATTCCTGGTTGTTTCTTTTCTAAGGGTGCAGGCCAGGGGATTGTCTTCCTTCTGTGGCCCTAAAATTCACCTGCATGTGAAGTCCTCCCAAATGTGTCTCCGTGGTTGTGACCCCAAATTACAGATGCATGTAACCAGTTACTACTCAGCAAACCAGTGAGTCTTTTGGGAGACAGCTTGCTCCCCGCCTAACCAGCATGCTCCTTCCCAGCATGCCCCTCAGGCCGCAGTGCCTGTTTTTTAGTTTTGATGTGAGACCATTGCTTTATCAGTGAACACTTCTTTATAGTTATTTTAAAAATTAGAGGGCTGGGAAGATAGCTCCGTGTAGGCACATGCCTGGCAAGGACCCAGGTTTGATCTCTGGTACCACATGCTGTGCTGGCCACGGAAACCAGGCACACCTGCAATCCCAGCTCTGGTGAGGCAGAGATGGGAAGGTCACTCCAAGTCCAAGCTATGTAGCAAGACCCTGTACCAAATAAATAAAATTAGAAGAAATCAGACACTTAGCCCAGCTCTACTGCCTGCCTTCCCAGATAGAAGTCACAATCCGAGCCCGAGCTCCGCCAGTGCCCCTCAGGAAACTCTCCACACGCCGTGTTGCTTCTCCGACCTTGTCTTCCACCTTTGGGTCCCTGGAGCCCCTCTCAGACCTGCTGCACTTTTTTTTTTTTTTTTTTTTTTTTTTTTTATGTTTGTTTGTTGATTATTTGAGTGGGCAGTTTTGTGAGAAGGAGCCTTGGAGTCTCGGAGTCTCGGCGTGTAGCCCCAGCTGTCGTCCTACCTCTGTTCCCTGGCCCTGCAGCTGCAAGTGTGCACCTCCATGCTCGGCGCCTGCTGCTCCTTCATGAACTTGCCTGCCCGACCCCGTTTTGCCTCAGGGCCTGTTCACTTCCGGCCCCCTCTGCCTGGATGTTCCTGCGCAGATAATCTGTGGGGCTGGCGTCTTCACCTCCATCAGGTTTCTTCTGGCATTTGCGTTGGGAAGCAGGCCTTCTCTCATCCCTGTGTCTGCTCACCCCTCCTACACATTTACATTGATTTTTTTTTTTAAGTAGCATTTAAGTATCTCCTGATATGTATCTATTGTCTACCTTTGTTACTAGACTAAGTTTCCTGTCTTGTTGAAGGCTCTACCTCCAGTGCTTGATCTGTGGTTGGGATGCAAGAAGTGTTTGTTGCATGAATTTTGGGGTTTGTAAATATCAGTTCTGAGAAATGAACAGGATGCTTTCAGCTAGGTCTTTACAGTTTAAGTTGAGCTAAACAATGTAAAACTAGGAAAAGAATCCCCCCCCCCAATAAAAACTGTCCTTCCGAATTCATTATTGGAAAGCTTTTGAATGTTTTAGTTTTTCCTGATAAAAGCAACTTCACTTAGTGATTAGTTGAGTGTGATTTAATATTTCAGAGTATTCAACACGTTTCATTGTAACAGGTTAATTCGCTAAGGAAAAAAAGAGGTTCATTTAAAAGAAGCATTGATTTTTTTTTTTTTTTTTTTTTGGGAAACATTGCTTTAATACTACAAAAGTTATTTTTAGGTTATCTTTATGTTCCCATGGCCTGTGTGGAATGAAAAGGTGACACCCGGTTCTTAAAGGTTAATGTCAGGAATGCTAGCCTGCCACAGTGCGGCAAAGCCCGGACCTAAGCCCTGATGGCCAGTGCTCTGCTGCGGAGGTTTGGGGTGCTCTTCCTGAACTCGCTTACCATAATTTTATGTTTAGTTAGGTGTCAGTCTTTTCCAGCTATTCAATAGCATAGCATTTTCCTTTTGTACTCTGAATAGTATGCTTCCACTTCATCTCTCTCCTAGAGTGCCATCCTACAGGGGACGCTTCAGGGTATGTCTAGGCTACTCACCTCTTTTGGAAGCAAACGTTTGGAAACTGGCAGTAGCGGCACGTCTTGTTACCGTCACGCTGTCTGTGCCTCAGAGCTCCTGATAAGTGCATGATCATCTGTCTGTTACACTAACCACAGCAGGTTCAGGGTCTCCAAAGGCATGTTGAAGTAGGTATTCAAAGAACTACTGGACTTTACTGTTTATACTTAATTTGAAATAGCTATTTTCAAACATTTCTCAAAGCAAGTCTTACGGTGGAAAGCAGTCCTGCACTGGCCAAGGAGAACAAAGATGTCATCATCTTTCCCCTGAGCGCCCTTCTGAGGACCACAGGGCTCTGGTGAGGGCAGCTGAAAAGCTGCTGTGCTGAAGCAGAGAGCTTAGTGGGGCTCTGATTGGAGGGGGACGGGGAGAAGCTGCAGACCAGGAGAGAGTAGAGTCCACTGCAGAACATATGCATCAGGAGGGGAAAAACTGCTACGCCGTAGTGTGTGTATATATATAACACACTTTAATACTGCATCTATTGAGGCGTCATGAGGCTGATACGGTCCCCTTTGGCCTGCACAGTCACGTGTGCTGCCCAAGTGGTGGCCCTCAGCTTCCTGACACGTCACTACGGCAGTCTGCTGAAATGTGTGTGCATGATTCTGGTGGATTCCGTATTTGTAATCCACATAGCCATCAAACAACTTGTATCTAAAATGTGTAAAGAGCTTTCAAAACTCAACAGTAAAAATCCAATTCAAAACTGGACCCAAGAAATGAACAGAAGGCAAAAAGCCCAGGAAAAGGGCGCTCAGTGTAAGCTGTTAGGGAGGTGCCAGTTAGAACCCCAGGGAGACACCCATGCATCTATAGGAATGACTAAACTAGGATGGTGAGTATGAATGCTGACCATTGAGCAAGGAAACTGGAGCATGTGTTTGCTGCTGGTGCAAGTGTAAATTGCACAGATATTCTTGGAAGGAATGCAACAGTTTCTTAGAAAACTAGGCTTGCACTTAGTGTGCAACACAGCAGTGGCACTCTTAATTTATGCCAGAGAAATGAGAGCTTCAGTCTGGGATGATCCTGGATCAGTGAGGAGTGCTCCCGCACTTATATCAGCGTCTGGCGTGCTGCGTGTCATTTACCTGACTTCGTGGTCCAACGCCTACCATTAGCATGGTGGCAAGGAACCTTTCAGAGCTGTGCTTCGTTGACGGCAGGCAGCCAGCGGTGCACACACTGCCACAGCTTCCACTCTACTGCACCGAGAACAGGGACTTCAGGAACATTCCATGCTGTCTTTCTAACAGTAAGAATCATGCCTGGCAGTATTTGTTGGTTGGTTTTGTGTGTGTGTGTGTGTGTGTGTGTGTGTGTGTGTTTTGGGTGGGTGGAGGGGTTGGCTCAGGCTGCCTTGAGGGCGCATCTGGTCAGGCAAGTGGCGCTGGGGATCAAACCACGGTCTCCTGTGCCTGACAGGGTTTGCCCAAGCAGGCACTTAAACAACTAACCCGCAGGCCCCCAATAAATTCCATGTTAGTGGAAAGCTTATAAAGATTCCGTTTTTTCTTCAAGTAGCTACCAGCAAAAGAATTCAACATTGAGTAGCAGAGACTGTGAACTTTGGCAACCCTCTTACTCTTAAAAGGCTTCAGATTCTGCAGTTGTATATTGCTGGAAGAAGGCAGAAGTAATTTCAGCGTTCTTTAGAGTGACTTAGATCACTTCCTTAACTTCTTTATTTTCTGACCAGTTGCCATAGAGGCCCACACTGAGCCAAATTTAGGAACTTTTTGCACTGCATTAGCAAATGCAGTCAGACTGCTTTGCAGCCCTTTGACAGCAAGCTTTCTGCACTTGCGTCTCTGTGTTCCCTTTCCCTCTGCCCACGAACACCATGACCCGCGTGGCGTGCAGCAGAGGAACTGTGTCACATCTGCTCTTCAGATGCGGTCTGCAGGAGCCGTAGTGTGCTCTTTCCTCACATACTTCTTACTTTCAGTGACTTTTTTTCTTAAGCGTCCAGAATCTTTTGAAGTTTGTTGTTTTCCATCACAGTAAATGTGTAATAAAAGCTTGAGATTACTCAACTTTGTGATAGTGATTCATGTGAGAACTTACATATTGACTTGGTTTTAGAAGAAAAACCAAACGAGTATTTTTCACTAGAAAATTGTGTGTTTGTGTGTGCACGTGCATGCGTATATATGTATATATTTAAAGTGTATATATATGCATATATATAAAGCATATTTTTCCTTAGATATTTGTCCTATCAAACATATTTGTAGTCATATATAAGAAGGGTAGTTTGGGGCTGGGGAAATAGCTTAGAGGTAGAAACACCTACCCGTCAAGCACAAGGTCCCGAGTTCAGTCTCTGGAACCCCAGGCATAGTGTGCCAACCCGGAGCCCTGGGCATACCATGTGGGCCCTAGAACCAGGCGTGGTGGCACACGCCTGTGATCCCAGCACTCCCAAGGTTGAGACAAGAGGATAACTGCGAGTTCGAGATCAGCCATTGAGCACAAGCCTAGCCTGAAGTACATAGTAAGATCCTGTCTCAAAAAAAGAATGGCAGTTTAAATGTAAAGTTTGTTGTGGTTTGAAAGAGTCTATGTCAGTGGTTAGGCATAATTGGGTTCTGTTGGTCTCTAGATTTGGTGGTGATGTGTCACATTTGTTTTCAATATACCTATTGGTAAAATGTGCTGTTCTTTATCTATAAATATACTGTTTTCATTTTCTCTTTGGTTTATAAGGGAAAATTTATATTAATTAAAGGTACTCATATAAATATTTTTAGTGAATTATAATTGTTAATAGGAAGAATAATAGTTGAATAACAATAATTTGCCTTTAAAGGATAAATTGTTATCACTGGCATCTTTGTTAAGTTCTTTTACTTTTCAATATTGAGATTTTCCAAATGGCCAGCCAGCTCTTTTCTATACTTAGGTGTTACATAAAAATGTAACAGAAGGGGCTGGTGAGATGGCTCAGTGGTCTAAATCACCTACTTAGAACAAGTTTAGCAAAGCACAGGGACTGCGGTTCAATCCCCCAGCACCACATGCCAGCCAGCCCTGCCCCCTGGTGGGCTGAGCTGGCCACACACACACACACACACACACACATAAATAAATAAATAAATAATTTTTAAAAATGTAACAGAAATCTGTTCAAGGATTTTTCATGTTGAACTATGATTTGATTTCTATTTTTTCAGTGTGTTATTTGGGGACTTTGATGACTTTACAAATGCTCAAGGCCACTTTTTCCTACGACTGTGAGTCTTCATAGAGTGTTTCTGATTTCTTTTTAAACCCAGGTGACTGTGGAGATCATGTTGTCATAATGAACACACGACACATTGCATTTTCTGGAAACAAATGGGAGCAGAAAGTCTACTCCTCCCACACCGGGTAAGACAGTGGCTCAATGAAGGAAGACATCAGTGTGGATCATTTTGGTAATGCTGCTGCTCTTATTTAAAGAGAAAAATGGGGCTTCCAAAATAGGCTGACCAGATAGCTCAGTGGACTAGAGTGCCTGCTTAGGCAGAGTGCAGCGGCTGGGGTTCCATACCCGGCACCACAAGCTATACCAGCCCCGCCCCCAGGGCACGCTGAGATGCTGATTAAAACTGAGCGGGGTGGCGCTCTTGCCTGTAATCCCAACTCTTGGGAGGCTGAAAACAGACGTTACGAGTCCAATCTGTGTAGTGAGACCTTGTAGACCCTGTACTAAATACAGAAAAAAATAAATAAAATGAAGGCATCTAAGAAAGTACTGATTTTATTCATGTATAATTTATTCAGCCAAAACAAATACGATACCATGTCAAATCCTAGATATTGCCTCACGGTATTTATGTATCTCGTAACTATACTATCGCTCTGATCAGAATTATTCTCCTGGTTCAGTTAGCCTCCCTTCTGTAATTCGTTTCTTGCTGTTTACAGGCCATGCTAAACTCTTGACGTGTCACCAGGAATGGCCAGCCTTCTTGGCCCAGGCTTGTATGTCAGGACCTTGCACGTGAACACCCCCTCTGACTGGCTTCTCGTGGTGGGGCCAACTTGTCCCCGTTGAGGCAAGCAGGCCAGGCATCCTCCTCTGCAGCGGCGCTGCCCTTCATGGTTCCTGCAGTTAGCACCGGCTTCACGCAGGCTCTCACAAGCACACTCTCATTCTCCTGTGTCCCTTCCTCAGGAGTGCTTTGGTTGTGTTTTCACACAACTATAAGACCTTAACTTTGCTCTATATTAAATCTGATCTCCACTCCTTCCAGATGTATTCTTACACATTAGGTGAAGACAGATAAATGTAAATAAATGTATCTTCTATATCAAATACATCTGCAGCCATCTCCACCCCTTGTATTTTTTGTTTTTCGACAGTCTTGCTAAGTTGTGAACCTGGGCTTGAGCTTGGGTTCCTCCTGCCTCAGCCTCCCCAGGTGCTAGGATTACAGGCATGCATCACCATGCTTGGCTCCGAAAACTTTTTTGTAAATGCTGGTTTTGCTCACTGTGTAGTAGTGTGTTGGGGGGGGGGGGGATATGAGAATTAAGTCATGACTCGCCACACCTTTTGTTGCTCTCCTTTTTGAAATGAAAACTTTGACTTTTACAAAAAGCTAGAAAATGTCTTTAACTTAACTTTTTAACTACATGAGGTTATGTAAAATAAATCTGGAAGTGTAGTGGAATCGAAGGAGTGATCATTTATAGGCCTGCTGACAGGTGTTTCTTGATGGGCATCAATTTTATTTTCGTTCTGATGAGGCCTCCATTTTTTCCACATTATCTTCTGTGAACTATTAATGTGATCTATTAATGTTAATCTAGTATTATGGGTTTTTTAAAAAACCTTTTTTTACTTTGTAAATTTTTTTTTAATGTACGTGGTACAGGGCCTTACTACACAGCTCATAGTGATCCTCCTGTTTTCAGCTTCCCTAGCGCTGGGATTACAGGTGTGCACCACCATGCCCAGTCTCAGTAGTAGGCTCAGTGTGCCTGGGGGCGGGGCCGGCAAAGCGTGTGGTGCTGGGGATGGAACTCCAATCCCTGTGTTTGCCTAAGCAGGCACTTAGTCCAGTCCGCTGAGATATCTTGCCAGCCCTTTAAGACCTTTTTATAATAAAGCTTCTCTAGGATTTTCTTCACTATTATTTTTATATGATTAAATAGACTTTCATTTTTAATTACGTAGGGATCGGTTCTGTGCATTGGACTCTTACATCTAACTCTCCCAAATGTTTTGGCCTGAGTTCCAATAGAGCTCCCTACTAGTGGTACCTTTGTATTTGTGCATCCCCAGTACCCTTCTGGTAAATACTCACAAATGCTTAGTGACCTAACTAAAGCCAAAGCCCATGGCTAGCTTCACAGCTCTTCCGTTACTCATTCAGGGTATCTCACTGTGGAGGAAAGCATGTGGTTATTTTTTTCTCTAGTAAAAATCAGTGAGTATTGGATTACTCATGAGTATTGGATTACTCACATCTTGCCTTTCTCAGAATTTTACATGCGCTTTCCAGGTAGTGTAGGATGAAGTCCAGGCCCCTGCTACACAGCACAAATGGTATTGCACTTTACAGACTACCATTCCAGTGTTAAAATTGGAAAGGCAGTCTTTAGCATAGAATTTGCAAAGTGCTTTTCCATGGAGACAACACAGGAGCAGGAGTCTAGACAGATACTTCTTTTTCTGAAACTGAAATTTTGTGAAAAAAATGAAATAATACTAGTGTAACAATTAGCTATGCTTCTTAATAAACTTCTGAGTTTAATTTTTATTCCTAAAATGTGACTGATTAAGTCATCTTTAAAATGTTATCAATTGTGTTGAAAAAATTATGAAGGAAATCATATTTAGATAATCTTAAGGTTTTGTTTTTGTAGAGTCCACTGGTTTTCCATTTTTTTCCCTTTTCCTAATAATCATTGAAACTATTTTTCTGTTCAGTGTCATAAACTGTTGAATCTATATATTTTTGTTTTAAATTTCTTAAGCTCTTTTGCAAATACTTTATTATTTGCATCCGAGATCTAGTGAAGTAGCTGGAGAAGATAGTATTTTTATATGAGTAAAATCATACAGACAGGCAAACATAGTTGCTTCATAAGCTGAGAGTCACTGGAAAAGCCTAGTTTCCAGACCAGGATCTGGGAACCCCAAGTTGCTAAATTGACTGACATGATCCTGAGTATCTTTCTTTGCGAGTTTACCCATCATACGTGAATTTGATCTGACATGGTGAGTCACTTCTTCCTTGGAGCCACACACGACTCCCAGAGGCCTTTACCCACTAATCGGCAGAAGAGCGGGGTCACTCTGTGCAGAGCACCGACGCGGCTGCAGAGGCTCCCCGTGGTGTCCCTGCACCTGCTCCGCCGGCCCCTTTCTCTCTTTTGGGAAGACACAGCGCATTCTGGCTCATGGCTGTTTGTGTTTTATATCAAGCAGTGATCAGCCAGCCACTCACCAGAGGGGAGTGGGCGGGTAACCTAAAACTGGGGAAACATAGCTGCACCAAGAAATTTGTGCAAGACATAGAGCCACTGGTGATGTTGTCACAGGTGGCTCCTCCAGGCAGTAGCATTTCCATCAGCACAGATTGCTGCTTAATTTCTACTGTGCTGATAAGCAGCGGAGTTAGAAACAGGTAACACACTGGAAGCCTTGGGTTGTAAAGCAGTGATTAATTGAAGACTGCAGTACCATAGCCCGCACCAGCTCTAACGTCTTTGCTTCTCTAACAGCTACCCTGGGGGATTCAGGCAAGTGACGGCTGCCCAGCTCCACCTGCGGGACCCAGTTGCGGTGAGTCTGGCTTTCTACTCGGCATCTCGGGCAGACGGTTGGCCACTGTTTGTTCTTGCCTCTGTCCTACTGTAGTTACCGTTGAGGATTCTAAACCCTTCACCCTGGGTCTGCAGTTTATTGTTTGTGTTCAGGCCTCTTGGGAAGGGTGTGTGCTTTAGAACTCCATCTCTGTGACTTCTTTATGACTTGTGTTAAAGATTTATTTACCCGCTAGGAGCTGCCTAGGCATAGTATATAAGCCGAAAACTCCTCTAGATAGCTGTTAGATGTAAGAGATTTTGAACCCCATTACTGATAAGCGAAAACCTTTTTAGAAACTTCCCCTGCTACACAGCATGCCATTGCTTTTCTGGAGAAATCTTCACTTCGAGGCACGAGGGTCTCTTGGCCCCCAGATGGGGTGACCTTTTAACACACAAGCTCTGCCCTCAGCTGAGGCCTTTGGGACAGATGCTAGCCCGAGGACTCTGCCCTGACGTTCTTGCTCATTTCTGGCTTTTCATTGGCTCCATGCTTTAAGAACTTTTTATAAGCAATGTCCTTGGCTTTGGTAGTGTTAATTGCTTTTCCTGTTGTGTGTGATCCGTGCTGGGGCAGCCTGGGCCTCTTGGTCCTCAGCGCTGTGCGGACAGTGTCCTGTTGCCCTATAGTTTTCCTTCTCCAACTCGGTAGAAATGGCCTTGGGCTCTGTTGGGGGCTTGAGAGTATTTTCTCCTTCAGGGACTGTTTTAGCTGTTACCTCAGAATGTTTCTAAAAGATTGGTGTTAGACTCTGAAAATGCTATTCTATTTATTTTCCTAAAGCAGTTGGAGGGGTGTGTGTATGAAGTCCCGTGCCCCATTTTGAAGCTCCACACGTTACTGTTTATTTTGGATCATTATATGTATCTTAAATGTATGTTCAATATTGCTTCTTAGGTAACATTTTATGTTCTGTTTTATAGCTAGTTTTTTTGTTTGTTTTGTTTCTAATGTTTTTTGTTGATACAGGGTCTCACTGTGTAGCTCCACTCATAATGATCTTCCTGCTTTCACCCTCCCCAGTGCTGGGATTACAGGTGTGCGCCATCACGCCCGGACTCTGGCTGGCTCAGCGCATTCTGGGGGCGGGGCTGGCGGGGCATGTGGTGCCAGAGATTGAACCAGGTCTGGGCGCTGCACTGCCTGAACAGGTACTTTAGTCCACTGAGCTATCTCATTGGCCCTCATAACTAGTTTTTTAAAGACTTATAGGTCACTGTATTTTATTTTTTATTACTGTGAATGCATATATTAAAAGTTATAAAGGCCATTTACAGTATATACTGTAATTATTAAAATACCTCATTGTTTTTGTCTTGTCACTGTACTCTAGGAGGCAGTATAGCCCAACTTTTTAATGTAAAAAAAAAAAATCTAACATTTGATAACACTTAGAAAACTTGTTTAAAATTATTTTTTATGAAAAAAATGAAATTATTACAAGATGCCTGATGAAAGACTAGAAAATATTGCAGAGTTAAATCGTTTTTCAGTTTTAACTTGATGAAAGAGCTTAACTTTCTTTATATCTTAATTTGGTCTTTGAATTTTGAAACTGGCTTCAGGAAAGAGTCAGTTATTTTATTTCCAGTTCACTCCTGTGCTTGTCTGGGACAGTGGGCTCTGCCTACAGTTGTGCTTGGCCTGCTCACACTTTCTTTATGTAGCTTTTCAGCTGGTTTTATTTGTGAACTGGTTATTGGTATAACCTTGGAATGTTGTTGGTAATATACATTGCTTAATATTTTATGTTTAATGAGTAATAGTAGCTTGTTTAATATATTTTATATTTTTGTAAATACGGATTCTAATTCCAAGTAAATACATTGAGTTCTTCCTTCATATCCTTCATCCCCGTTTTAGGTATTTTAGTTGAAGAGATTTTCTGTCCTTGTGTTTCCTGATAGCATCTATTTCTTTTAGTTACTCAGGTTATTCTTGTGCAGTAAATGCCGCATGCCCCAGGCTGCAGATGGTACGGGGACAGCCTTGAGCGTGTAGCAGCCGCTTCTCCTGTCTTTACCCTCTAAAGCTTGCCCTAAGCCTGCTCCTCCAGAATTCCTTGACTGCATCTGTGGGCTTGTCATGCCTGTTTTTCTGATTGCCAGTGTTTGTGTATCTTTTTTCTTGCTAGCTTACAACCTTTTCATATTTTCAAACTTTTCCTAATTTTAGTGTGATGTTTATATTTTCTTGATAGGACAGATTATTTTTAAAGTACCTATTTGTCAACTCAAAAGCAACTACATTTTTGTGATTATAAATAGCAGGTATCAGGTAACCCCTCTAATACTATACAGTTCCTATAATTATAATATTCAGAGGAGGTAATGACTTGCTTATCCAGAGAAAGTGTTAAGTTGTGTTAATATCACAGTTCTCTGTGTGACCTTTAAAGCATTAAAAAGCGTGTGTGGACCTGGTTGCACAGGCCTGGGATCCAGCGCTTTGGGGGGCTGAGTCAGGAGCATCTCAGGTTCAAGTCCTTTGGACAGCTTCTTCCAAATCAGTCTCAAAGGAAAGGTTTCTATAAAGGACTGGGAATGCAGCTTGGTGTGCGGGCCCAGCGCTGCAGAAGAAGAGCCCTCTAGGAGCAGCGCTGTGTGCACTGTGTAGCCGCCGTCCACCACGTGGGGAGGGCGCTTGCTGCATGGCTTGTGCGGCTGAGGAAAGGAGTTTACCATCGCCTTTAACTTCGATGGTACAGTCCATGTATGATAAGGTCTCCGGAACATAAAGCCGGAGCAGCACCGCAATAGGAATCTCTATTGCATGTCATTAGCTTCCATATGTCCTGCGCGTCTGATGTGATGAGAGAATAAAGGGAACGGGCACCCTCATGTAACACACTAACACACCACTGCTTAACGTGTGTTGCGTTAGTGGGTTCGTTTTAGTGCACGCCAGATTACACCCTAGGAGTCTGAGTGCAAACGGTAAAGACCAGCTTATCCTGCGAGTCTTCGCGAGCACCTTCCTGAGTGCTGGTGGAGAGTGGCGGGCATGTGTGCCCGGTGGCCTCAGGCTTCCTCTACCCGGAGAACACAGAAAAGCACACCCGGGCCAGCAGTGAGTGTACCTGTAAGAGGAGAAAGGCAGTCACAGAGCTGCTAGTTTGCTCTCGGGCATGGGTGCCGGGGAGCACAGCACCGTGGCCTTGGTGGGCTGTGGAGAGGACTCAGTGGTTCCTGGGGCCTCTGGAGCACTGCCTGGAGTCGAGCGGGCTGTCTGAACTCCAGCACCGCCATTTGTCAGACAGGAACTGGAGGAGTTCAGTAAATCTGATTCTCCTCTGTGAGATGAACTTAGTTGTAATGCTCAGAGTGGAAGATACACACATTTGCCACTGCCCACATAGTGAGCTTTCTGTGGCCCGTAACCAGGAGAGTTGTACACTTGTGTCGCAGAGGGTCAGTCTCAGGTGAGGAAGCGAGACTGTGGTGCCGCCAGGGTAGAAGCAGGCCAGAGGCGCCCTCGGTTCTGCCTAGTCAGTGTGTGATGGAGGATTCACACCACAGATTCACATAGAAGTTTAGAAAATTTCTTGATTGCTGCCAAAAATTGGCACATACATGAGCTATTTTTGATCTTGTCCTGTTTTCTAAATGAACGGTAACCAGAGCCTAAAGCAGATGAACAGTGGGGTCCACAGTAGTGGGCAGCCCTCTTTGGTGTCCTCCTCTGCTGCTCCCGCCCCTCGCCCTCATCCCTGGCTGTTGTTCCCTGACCCTCTCTGAGTCACATTAGCCCTGCGCACATGTTTTTCAGATTGTGAAACTGGCTGTTTACGGCATGCTGCCAAAAAACCTTCATAGGAGAACCATGATGCAGAGGCTGCACCTTTTCCCCGATGAGGTGAGTGTACCATGGGCGCCGCCGCCTTGGGGGCTGCAGCCTGGCATCTCGCTTCTTTCCACAGGCGCTATAAACCTGCAGGGGCAGCTTCTCTCCACCCGACATTCCTTAAAGTGGTTACATGTGGTCTATACATGCTTATTGCTCTAATTCTAAGCCATAAATCAAGCCATCATTGGACTGTAAATCAAAACTGTAAGTTCTGGGTTTTGTTTTCTGGTTTTTGTTGTTGCTTCATTTTACCAGTGGTTTTCATTAAAAGAAGGAATGACTATCAGATCCCCTGTGAAGCAGAGGTACTCACTCATTGGTAGTTTCAACTGTGAAAAGAAAGGTATTAATTTGTTTACTTTTTATTTGACAAGATCCAAGCCTTCAGTAAATCATGAATCAGTAATTATCTGGTTGTTGATTTTTTCCCAGGATTTAACTACACAATTCTTGTACCTATTCAAAATTTAGTCAGTTACAAAGTACTTAAAAGAATATTCTTAGGGCTGGCCAAATAGCTCAGCAGATTAAAGCTCCTACAAGCAGGTGCAGCAGCTGGGGGTTCGATTCGCAGGTCTGCCTTGCCAGCCCTGCCCCCAGGGCGCGCTGCGCCAGTGAATGAGACTGGGCATGGTGGTGTGCACCTGTAAGCCCAGCTCTTGGGAGGCTGTAAGCAGGTGGATCACTGTGAGTCCTGTCTAGTATTGAGGCCCTGAACACCCTGTAGACCCTTCCCTAAGATACAAAAAGAAAAAATATGTATATTCTTATTACTGTTACACTTTTCTCAGTCTAAGGGAAATTAGCATAGTCTGTATGGTCCAGCTGCCCAAGTTAGAGTCCGTGTCCCTGTGTGGTCTGGGTGCATGATGTGTTGTAGACACTCTTTACCTCTCTTCTCCTCTGTGGAGGTGACTTGACAGCATGCCTGCGACCGTGAAGTGCGGTGCAGTGCTCTCGGCTGGGGTTCAGAACAGCCTGCTCAGTGTGCGCCAACTGCTGCGACTGCTAGGGTTACAGTTGTTGTCCTTACAGTTGTACTGCAGGAGCAGCACGGAAGTTCACCCAAGATGTCAGCTAGAGCCGCTGTGTGCCTCCACGGGGCTTTCTCATGGTGTGAGTGCTGCTCCTGAGTAAGCAAGTTACTCGTGCCTTGACACAGTGGGGAGTCGTGCCTTCCGCTTGACGGAGTGAGTGGGATGATTCGGGGGTTGCTCCCCCTCGGAGCTGACGTGGCAGGATCAATCACAAGAGTTCAAACTCCTGCTTCTGGGTGAGCTGTCATAATTTTTCAGAATGATGATTTATTGTAATTTACATAAAAGCTAGTAACCATCACTTAATGATAATTACTCATTCCAGTTACAGTGTAGTCAGGTGAGTGTGATTGTTTGAGATGCTCATTGTAGTGAATTAACTGAGTGATTTCAGACTGTAAAATAAGTAAGCTCACTTCCCCCACAAGAGACTGGTAACTGTCTCAATGAGAGCCGTTTTCCCTTCAAGGGCACAGGGAAGCGACGCCTACCTTGCCCTGGCCGCAGCCTGCCTTGCCCTGGCCGCAGTAGACAGACGTGCCCTGAGTGGCCGAGCTCTGTGTGTGTGCGCAGGACAAACTGCTGTCACTGAAGCTGCTGAAAAATTGCTACTGATGGTTACTTCCTGATTATTTGTAGCAATAAAATAATTGAAAGTAATGAAAATTAAGGCTCAACCACAAGGCTGTGGAACCCACCAGCCAGACACAGGGCCACGCAGGGCCCAGGGTGCAGCGCCTCCCATGAACAATAAGAATCAAAGAGCCTGCTGTGTCCACCCGCCAAGGAGTTTTGCTCTGCAGTGAAAAATGTCATGTAAAAGTGTAGAAGGAAGGCCGGGCGTGGTGGCACACATCTGTAATCCCAGCACTTGGGAGGCTGAGGCAGGAGGATAGTTGTGAGTTTGAGACCAACCTGGGCTACATAGCAAGACCCTGTCTCAAAAAGACAAAAAAAAAAAAAAAAAAGAACAAATAGAGTTAGAGAATCCAGTGTATCAGCATTGTTTGTAACCATCAGTGAAAAGATCAGATACAGAATTTCAAAGGGTCCTGCCACAGGGCTGTCTTACTGGAAAGGGAAAAGGTGCTTCTACATCAGGAAGTCTGGCGGCCGGCGGCAACCAGGAAGAGAAACTACCTCTGCTCCTCCTGCTGTAAGGTGCAAAGGCTCGGACTGCCTACTCAGTCTGAATCTTGGGCAGTGCAGATAGGGGAATGTTCTGCATGTAACTGGCCTGAACTTGTCGGGTTGCTTATTTCTTGAAGAAAATAAAGAGGTGGGAGGAGCCTTCCAAGTGAAGGACACAAGGCTGACACGGAAACCGTACGACAGTGCAGTGGCTGATGTGGTGAGTGGCCTTGACTAGACCAGGGTGGGGACAGCTGTGTGAGGTGGTAGTGCATGTCAGGGATGTGTACTCAGGATTAGATGAGGATTACTCCATGGCGGTTGATTTTCCTGAACATGGAATTGAAATGTAGCTGTGTAGGCAGCTGCCCTTGTCTTTAGGAGAAAGAGGCTGAAATGTTTAGAGTCGAATTATTTATAAACTATTCTCTAGTAAGAGCAAAAACAAACATGTCAAGATAAAAAGTTTTGGAAGAAAAGAAAGGCTCCGCCCACTGCAGGTTTCTCCTCTGTGCTGCCCTTTCCATTGCATGCTGCCTGGGAAGGCGCTCAAGCCCTGGCCAAGGCCCACAGCATCTGGGGACTCCGTGTGCAGATTTGGGGTGGTGCTCTCCCCACCTGGGCTGTGTGTACTGCCTCATCGGCCCTTCCCACCCCTCCTTGCAGCAGGGTTTGTCATAAGGACATCTGAAAGGCTGGTTTCCGTCAGAAGCCTATTCTGCTTCATAAACAGCAGCAACCAGCTGTGTCCCTGCCCTGCTGCGTGAGCAGGTGGCAGCTTTTCAGATTGTCTTCTAGCTGGGTATGGTGTCTGCTAGCCAGGTGTGGTGACGCCTGCCCATAGTCACAGCGCTCTGGGAAGCTGAGGCAGGAGTATCAGCAGTGAGACCCTGTCTCACAGTAAAGATGCATGAGGTGGAGGGCAGGAAGGGGGATGAAGAAGGAATGGAGAAGCGTTACGTCCCTGTGCCAGTTCCCACCAGGGTGTAAACATGATGTACTGTAAACATACGTATGTTCGCGTGTATGTAATGACTTCTCAGAGAAGTGTAAAACGCCACAAAACTGATAGCCCCTTTTTGAAGTAAAATATGTGATCAATATTTTGTACGTTTGCTTACTCTGATTTGGTGTAAATATGCCTGCTGGCCTGAATGTACGATAAAGTGGGAGAATGGATATAGTTACTGTTAAAATACTCTCTGTGCTCCAGCATGCCATGCCAGCCCTGCCCCCAGGGCGTGCTGAGACGGCGTGCTGGCTCACGCCTGTAATCCCAGCACTTGGGAGGCTGCAAACAGGAGGATCACTAGGAGTCCGATCTGTGTAGGGAGACCCTGTAGACATTGTACTGAATACATTAAAAAAAATTCTCTGTGAAGAAACACATTAACACTGATACCTGTTGTGTTTTGTGTACAGGAACAGTGGCCTGGCCCAGGCAAATTGACTCTGTAAAAGTCCATTTTAAAGGCTCTTACAGCTGTGTTGTTATGTTCAGGTTTAGAACAAGCTTACAATGTGGTACAATGCTGTGATTCTAAAGCTGTTTGAAAATTGTATTCTGGGGCTGGCTCAGTGGAATAAATGGAGATGGCTCAGTGGAATAAGTGCTTCCCTTGCAAGCGCAAGGGCCTGAGTTCAATCCCTGGTTCCACCAAAAAAAAAAGAAAATTGTATTCTGATTCTTTACACGCAGTGGTTGCCCAAAACTGTGTGTTCATTGCTGCCATGTTCTTGGCTGGATCGTGATTCTCTGCTCCCTCTATTGAGCCTGGTGCGCTGCGCATAGACGTCTTCTCAGCGGCACCCACTCGTAACAAGAAAAGGGAATGGGATCTCCTCGCGAGAGCCTGGGGTGCCGCTCCCTGTGGTGCGCCCACCACATCCCCAGCTGTCTGCATTAGTTGCATTGCCAGAGCCAGTGTGCACACCTGGCCTGGCCTCAGGGCCACGGCGGCAGGCTCTGCTCACCTCTGTGGGCACCCAGGGTGGAGGCCCACCTTCAGTGCAGCCTGGGCAGGTGGAGCACGCTCCCGCCTTCCGTTCCCTCCGCCATCCCCAGCTCCCATATTTCCTCTGTTTGGGCTTCGCTGTTCAGCTGGGGTTTGGCCCTGACATCACATCCAAGTATCTTCCTGTCTGTCTGGCCGTGGTGTGTGCTTTCAGTCCCCTTTGTCACTTGCTGTCCCTCGGCAGTGTCTCCAGAGCCTCCCTTCTCCTGATGAAATGTGGTGGCAGAGGGGACTCTGTGAGCAAGGCAGAGCCTGCCTGTGGGTCCTGAGAGGGCAGGTGGGAACATGAGGACCCGGTGGGTGTGCAGAAGTGAAGTCGGGCAGCTCGGAGCAGGATGCTGCTCAGTTAGGGATGGTTAGCAAGAGCGTCCTCCCAGATGCCGAGCTGAGGCGTAACTGAGCCTGAGAGGTCGGGATTGGGCCACCTCCTCTACCTCCTCAGTAGTCTCTGGTTCCCAGTTGGGGTGCGGTAGATGTTTCTTAGATAAACAGCTCTACGAGCCAGCACATTTTCATTTCTAAAACATGTTTTTCTGGCACCAAGCTGAAGCACAGATTGAAGGAAGCGGCAGCGGGTGCCGCAGACCTGGGCTGTGATCCCAGTGTTAGGGCAGGGCCTTTGCTCCAGCATCAGGAAGAGAATAAGCAAAATGGTATGTTCAAAATTAAATTAGGTGGATTACTATGTTATAATAGCATCATCACTTGTATCAGTGGTCAGGTGCACTCTTCAGGGAATTAGATATACGATTTTAAGAGTGATTACTTTCCTCGTTCTTAAGCATTCTTCTGCTTTCGATCCAGGTATCACTGACCTCTAAGAAAGCTATTTTCAGAAAACTAACCATATGTGTTTGCCGTAGGATATTCCGGAAGATCTCCTGAGGAACTTGGCGGAGGAGCTCCCTCAGCCCCGGAAGGTGCCCCGGCGTCTGGACGAGTACACGCAGGAGGAGGTCGCGGCCTTCCCCAGAGTGTGGTCCCTGTAAGTGCGCCCGTCCTCTCTCTTGCCTTGAGCTCTGTGCCCAGTGTCCTGCTTCCATAGCAGACTGTGAGGCCCCGAGGGGCGGGCCTCAGTAAATGCGGGGTGCTGGGGAAGCTGTCCTTGTGTGGCCTGTCGTCTTGGGCCATGGCAGCCCCGATGTTGTTAGCCTAAACCCAAGGGCTCCAGGTCCCACTGCTCTCCAGATTGCTTCATATGTGAAGGATGTCATCTAATGAAAAGTCATTAATTCTGGAATTTTAGTCTTGCGCCAGATAAAAAACAAAAGCTTTTTCCTTCCCTCCATACAATTTCACCCATCTAGGCCCCATAAAGCTGCTAAGACGTGACAGCCTGTCTCCCGCCTAATTGTTTCCAGGCTTCTTGGGGATCTGCAGATGAGCATTTCAGTTCACTTCCTCAGGAGTGCCCTCCAGTACTCCCAGATGATTTACGCCCCCGTCTCCAGGCCTCAGCCACGCTCTCCTTGCCGTCTGCTGCGTCTCTGGACGTAATGAAGTGCGTGTGTTACCTGCTTACCGTCTCATTTCCCTCGCTGGGGTGCTTGAGGGAGCCACACGCTTGGCATCATTAGCATTGGACAGGGTCCAGCGTGTTGAGTGGGCACCTGGCAGATGCTGGTGGTGGCACTGTTCGCTCTGTTGGCTTTCATTGCACATGGAGGTGGGAAGGGACGTTCAGGGGAATGGAAGTGCGAGCTGTTTTGCCTCACAGCTTTCGCCACCATACAGGAGTCTGCTTTATTCGTGTGTATGTCTGTATTTTTCCCCCTGGACTAATAAGAACAGTGAAAGTAGCAAGCTCCACTAAAGTGCTTTACCTGGCTGATCCTCTGAGCAAGTAAGTAGGGCTTCTATCTCTATTTTTTGCAAGCAAGAAGATACAGACACAGAAAGATACCTGAAACCCCACCGTTGTCAGTGGGGGAGCACACTGCCTGGAGAGTTGCTGGAGAGCCCTCTGCACCTTGCACTACACGCTGTCAGGTGGAGAAGGTGAAGCCCGAGCGCGGCCTGGGAGCTACGGGCAGGGTGCCCTCGAGTCTGGCACTCGTGTCCCCGCAGCCTGGAAGCCACCGTGGCACCAAGGACTCGCTCCTTGGGGTGCACAGCAGGTGTTTTTGAAAAGTGAGAGTTGAATTCTTTCCCAAAAAAAGTTGAGGTTATCACAAGTTGCTTAACATGAAGTTTAAGAGACCTCAAGAGAGTTTCCGTTTTTGCCTTTTTAGTACCTTCCTCTGTATTATTCTGACCTCACTTCCTGCAGCTGTACTCAGTTTCTTCACCCTGGAATAGAACAGATCATACTTGAGGGTCTGACAAAAGAGTAGGAAAGCGAACAGCTGCAAATGTGCGCCCCTGAAGTGCAGACCAGGAGAATAATTCTTGGGATTACCGGCCCTGCCTGGGTTGCTTCATGTGCCTATGTAGTGTTATTGTGCTTAGGTTGTTCGCAGGTGGATCACGTCAGATCCCGTCAGCAGGGAGCTTAGGTTCCTCCCCAGGAGGCCTGTGATACCATCTATATTCTACCCAGAACCACCAGAGGTGCTGGTGAGTCAGGTGTTGACCACACGGGTGTGAGCTTGGAAACTCTGGCTCTTGGTTCCAAAAATGAACTCGAAGGCAGTTTAGCCAGTGCAGTCTGTGTGCATACACCAGCCACAGCACGTTCTGCTCGGCGCCCGTTAACCAGAGCTCCTTTCCTGAATGATCCCTGCTGCCTCTGGAGGCAAGTGAGCCGTTGACTCAAGCGTAGTATCTTCCTTAGAAGAGTAAGACTTAATTTTTAAGGAGACCTTTTGAGAAACTTAGAGGCACAGGTACATTGTTGACTTGGGTTTTCCTACTCTTTCTTTGCATTCCAAATTTCCCTGTGGCAGGAATATGCATTAGACACCAGACTTTTTTATGGCTTATTAAAGTTGGGACCTCGCCTCATAAATACTTACCGGCATATGTTAACCTCAGTTTCCACCATTCTGAAGTAGATACACATTTACCCAAAGTGGAGGACGTTTTGTGGCATAGGTGTTCTGGCCACTTAACCTGTATCTTTCAAACTTCTCGCAGCACATTACAGCGGAGTCTATCATGTGAAAAGCGTGGGAAGGTACGATAACCAAAATGTAGTGTCTCAGGAGGAGGTCTTCAGCCCAGTAAGCAGTAAGCATTCTACAGGGTAAAGACCCTTCCACCTGAGCACCCACTCCGCAGCCCTGTGACTAGAGGGCACTCACGTCACGGCCTGGGGACCTGGGAGTCTGAATTTGTGATTTTGTATCTAAAATGATTATTTTGCATTTTATTAAAATATAAATTTAAATTTCAGTAACTGCGCTCATGGCTGCTGATACATCACTGGCCGTGGCATTCAGTTTTCCCCATTTCATAAAGTCCTAGCAGTAGACATATACTTTTGAGCTCACCCTGCAGCTGAATGCCATGAAAATGGGATTCTCATTATTGGAAGGCTTGCCTGGATAAGAAAAAGTGTTCTCCTTTTGGAAGAGGAAAGTGCTTCAGATGTGCTTTTGTTCCACCCAAAGTAGCTAAGCCAAGAAGATAATCTTCCTTGGGAATGCAGTAACTGGCAGTCATTGAGGTAGGCCAGGTGCGGGTCATAGGCACCTGCCTGCTGCGGGGCGCCGGGCGCGTGGCGCACGCACGGGTAGATGGCTGGCTCGGCGGTGTCCTGGCACTAACGCTTAGGACGTGCTTCCCGCGCACAGCCAGGCAGCATCCCCGGACTTCGTTAACTTTGGTAAAGTGTACATCTGTTAACTCTTGTGTTGGATGCTAAAAGCTCCTGAGCAGTTACAGTTATCAAACTAAGCTTTGACCAAGTAGATGGTTGATAAAATTGTTATGTAATTATTGTGATTTCTTCTAAATTATTTTAAATCAATTTGAAAAGTTGCATTCTTTTTTTTTTTTTGTAAGTGAAAAAACCCTTCTGCTTTATTTAGCATAATAAAACTTAGTCTTTAAACTTTACCAAAAATTCCCCCCACTCATAATTTCCCTGCTATGTAAAATTATCTTTATTTCTAGATCCTGAGGTTTTTGCATTTTAATGCTTACACAACCCACTTAAAAATTATAACGATGCCAGGTGTGGTAGCACCCACCTGTGATCCTAGCACTCAGGAGGCCGAGACAGGAGGATCTCCCAGAGTTCCGGGTCAGCCTGGATTACAAAGTGAGTTCAAGACCAGCCTGAACTTGAATAGTGAGACCCTGTCTCAAAACAACCAAAACTAAAATCAAATAAGATAAAAAGAATGTCCTGGCAAAGTGCAAGGGCCTGAGTTCAATCCCCGGTTCTGCCAAAAAAAAAAAAAAAAGAATGAATGCTGCCTCTATTTCATGTTCTGATTAAAATCTCACAAGCAAAACACAAGAAATAGGGGCCAAGGAGATGGCTCAGTGGAATAAGCGCTTCCTTGGCAAGCGCAAGGGCCTGAGTTCAATCCCTGGTTCCGAAAAAAAAAAAAAACAAACACAAGAAACAAACCAAACAAATCACACATCACATGGATGATCCAAATGGAAAGGTTAATGAGCTGTAATAATATTTGTTTCACAACATCAAAAGCAGCAGAGATCCTGAGTATAATTTGTGTAAGTCATCAATACTGAGATTGGAATATGCATATACAAATCACATTTAGGCTCCATGGGGTGAGAGCGCTCCACAATGCGCAGGATAATCAAGTGCAGAACAAGTGAGAAGGCCACCAGCACGCCAGCCCTTCAGTACTCCCACTCGTCAGATTTCAGGTCGAGATAGCTGAGGATGTTCTGGGCCAGCTTCACGGCCTGTTTCCGAGCAGCCTTACACCTCTCCTCGCCCTGCGGGTCCACGGCGTCCAGGGCCAGCAGCTGCTTGGTCAGCAGCTCCTCCACCCGGATATAGTTCTTGTCAGTTCGATTGCCATCGAAGGAGAGGACTTCTCCCTGGATCTCCGATAGGTTTTCCAGAACCTCCCAGACTGCCTCATGGGACGGGTGCTCCTCACAGGGCAAGTGTTTCCTCTTCTCCAGGGCCTCCCTCAGGTCCACGTGTGTGATCAGGGCCTGCACCTCAATGACAGCCCTTCTCCTGGCCTCCCGGATGCAGGGGTTTCTTTCCAGGCTCACCTCATCCAGCTGGCCGATCAAAACCTGCAGCTCTGTCTTGGAGCTCAGATACAATTCGGGAGGGTTTTGGGCTTGGAGAAATTACTTTTTTATTTCTCTCATCCTCTTGAAGACCTTTTCTGTTTTCAAAATGGAATGGTTCTGCCTCCGGTCAAATGTGTGAGTCGTATCGGCTTCCTCTTCTAAATCCAAATACTACAGTAACTTGTTGATGTCTTCTACCACCTCCCTCCGGTAGTTTCTGATCTCTGTGTGGCCACACACATCAAGAGCATCGAGGTCAGCAAGCAGCCCTGAGAGCACGCAGGACAGATGCCTGCAAGTCTCCCTGCTGTCCACGCCCATCAGCAGCGCCACCACGACACCTCTGGTCTTGTTTACTTCACACATCACTGAGTTGATCTTGGCGACGGAGGGGTGTACATCTTCAGAGAGTGGCAGGGAAGGTTGCTTTTTCTTGCGGTCTTCGACAATCTCTTGCACAGCACAGATCTTGGCTAGTGTATGATACCTTGCTTTCCGCAAAGAGATCTTTCCCCCAGTTTTAACGTGTGTTAGCCTCAGGATCATATCCTAGATGCCTTCCTCGATTTCATCAGTTATGCAGCTGCCTCTGCTATAGAAGGGCATGATCTTCTCTTGCACGAGAGCCTGGGCCTCCCTGAAGATGTTCTGTATTTCGAGGCGGTGTGGGTGGTTTGCATTCTGCTCCAACTCTTTGAGAAGATGCTCTGTCGCCTGTGCCGCCCTCTTCCTAGCTTGCTGAATGTCTCCTTTTCCTTCTGTATCTACAGAGTCTATTTCAAAAAGTTGCTTTGTTAGAATCCTCTCCAGTTTCTTGTAATTCTTGTCACTTGACAGGCCAATGAAGCTGAGTACCTGCTGTTCTATACTTTTTACTTCCTTTTGGATTTCCTGAAGCCTGGTAATGGAAGGATGTTGGTTTCCCATATCCATACTTTTGTGTGTTCAGTTGCACACACACTAAAAGATAAGAACAATAGCTTATTAAAGCAAAAGTCTGCAGCCGGGAAGATAGCTCAGTGGCATAAGTACCTGCACGGCAAGTGCAGGGTCCTGAGTTAATCCCTGGGTCTCCCGCACCATCGTGGCCGGCCACCTGCATTTGGGGCCGCCGGGCCCGCCCCCGGCCACCGGGCCCCAACCTCCAGAAGCTGGGCCGGCGCCCGCAGCTCACCTTGCGTGGCACCCAAAAGTTGCATTCTTTCAGGACTAATTTCAGCATGTGTTAGGCTTTTTTGTGCTAATAATTCATAGTTTGGTCATTTTAAAAAGCCTAAGAAGGCCTGTGCTGGACAAGCACAAGGTCCTGAGTTCAATTCCCAGGACCAAATAAAAAGTACGACAGCATGAAACCAAGATTTATGACGAAGCTACTTTTTTTTGGTACTGGGAATCACACTCAGGACCTTGCCCTTGCCAGGCAGGCACTGTGCTGCTGAGCTATATTCCCAACTCCAAAGCTACTTGTTTGAAAAGCAAAAGCTATTTTTTCATATGGATAGTATATTGTAGCTATTTATTTTGCATTTTAAATTAGTGGATATACTCAGCATATTAATTTTTTTGTATTTTGTAAATACATAAATTTTACAAGAAACTTATGAAGTTATATTGCATGCATGCTTTCTGATAAAATAGATGTGTGTTTGCCCTTTATGGATGGAGTGTGGGATTTGCACTTAAAATTCCTTTTTCATGGGAAGAAAGAATAAACAATAGCACTGTCCTTTTTTTAACTGTTCAATGGCTTGAAATTTCAGCTTTCCAATGGACAGCTTATGGTAATGCTATTGGTAATTGCTTCCATAATTATTGCAGTCTTTTTCAACATATTACAGAACTCTTGTAGTCATGGAAATGGTAGTGCTGTGATTGTAATGGAAATTTTTTATCATTAAGGCTAAAAATAAAATTTGAATCATTTGGAATTTTTTTATTTTCCATTTTTACAAATTCTCTAGGAGGACTTAGGAAAAGCTAGGTAGGTGGAACATTTTAACTTGAACTGCTTTGCGTTCAGATTCCTCCCTCATTAACTCAGTCGTGCCTCTCCAAAGCAGAACCTTCAGCTTTGTACAGAAACTATGGAACGTGCGTGTCATCCCAGATCCTCACAGGACAGCCTGCGTTCTGGCGCTTGCCCCTCTGAGTGAACGGTCAGGAGGGTGTCGTGGCGGCCCAGAGAGACCAGGGGTGAAGGCAGAGCACAGGCTGAGCTGGGGCGCCGCAGGGTCAGCTCCTGGAGCAGAGGTGGTGTCAGGGCGCGGGGCCCGGCCGTGTGGGAGGAAGGTGCTCCACCTGGAGTGTGCTCTGGGAGGGCACGTGGGGAGCACCTAGATGCCAGAGGCCAGCAAGGGCCTCAGCAAGGCCGACTCTGCAAGGAGCACCAAAAGTCATCCTGAGAACAGGGTGCTTCTGTGTTTATGAAGTGAGAATCTTAGGTGGTGAAGAAAGATTTTTACCTTTTTTAATTCCACAAGAAGCTAGGGTCCAGACACTTTAAGGTTTTCCAGAGTTCAATGCTGGCCCAGTCCTTGGCCTCTCCCACAAGAATTAACTTAATCACTGCTCTTTCCAGTAAGAAGTTCCGAGCTGGGCTCGGGCGCGAAGTGACTTTCCAGCTTCCCCAGCCAGCTCGGCACTGGCACAGGTCACCGGCTCGCGTTCCCAGTCCTGTTGTGGCTCCAGTAAGACTGCGGGAGAGGAGCAACTCCGGGCCGGCCGGTGACACAGAAAGGAAGTCAGACCGTAAAGCCAGGCCCCACACAAGTCCTAGCCAGTGTGGCTCTGATGGTCGTGGTAGTGACCACACACCATGGCCATCACTGTCCTCGTTGCTCCGTGCACAGCTAGTTATCTTTTTGATTTTCTGTTCTTTTTTTTTTTTTTTTTTGTATTTTAGGAGTCTACAGAGTGTTCAGGGTCTATTAGATCCGGACTCAGTGATCCGCCTGTTTACAGCCTCCCAAGAGCTGGGATTACAGGCGCCCGCCACCACGCCCAGTCTCAATTGCCATCTCAGCACGCCCAGGGGGCAGGGCTAGCTTGGCAGGCCCCCAGATAGAACCCCCAGCCTCTGCACATGCTTGCAGGCCCTTTTTTTTTTTTTTTTTTCATAATTTTATTGAGAAACAAATAGCAGTGACACAGTTTCAAATGAAATTGGTAGGACAGTTTCAATAATTAACACATTGCATGCTCTCTTCCTAGCGGTTATTTGCTGTATAAGGTGCAGACATGATATCCTATTTACAAACACCTTTAGAACAAATCCTTCTATTCATTAAGAGAATGTAACTATATATCTCTCCTAACCATTTTGAATACACAGTTACAAAATGGACATTGATCTGTATCTCCTTTTTTGTTTAATTCCATTATTTGAATATTATAGGTGTGTTAGCTCAGCAAAATATTCTAAAAGAGTCCAGTGGTCCATAATAGTTGCAGGCGCTTCAACCCACTGAGCTATTTAGCTGGCCCTAGCTGAGCTGTTTTGTTTCGTTTTTTTGTTGTTTTGTTTTTGTTTCAAGACAGTGGATATATTTTAATTGAACTTTTCACAGCATGAGGTAAAAGGAAATACAGCTTTTCTTAATCAGTATTTCACACAGCTATAGTAAAATACTTTAGACTTCAGGGATTTATAAAGGATTACATTTCTCAGAAAATGGATCAAGTTAAGTTTTACTTAACTCTGAGATTTCCAGGTGATTCTTTACAATATTAACAAGTTTTAGTTACATAAGTTTCAAGGCAAAGTTCTAATCACTCTGTTGTCTTCAGATCTTAAGTCCTGCTGTTTCAATCAATATCCACTAATTCTGCTTCAAAAATGCATCTCGCATTTGGCGGAGTTTTGGCATCAGGCCGTCCTTTTTTTCCGTGAGCCCTTTCTGGCTCACTCTCCAGTCGAGCCTTTTCACCGTCTCTCAGTCAAGAGAGCCTCATCCCATCTTCTGATAGCCTTACCCCCTCCCACCTTAAAACTTCAGGGCTCGGCGTTTCTCTTCTTCTCTGGACTTGTTTGCATATCAGTATCAAGAGCTGTCCCGTCGTGCAGCGCTCCTGTGCACCAGCGCGCAGCGTCTCACTTGTGGGAAAGTCGGTTTTACCTCCCTTTTTCAGAATAGATTTTGTGTATTTGGGTGGACCCCCATCCTGAGTCTCTCCAAACTTGGTTTCTTTGGGCTTTTCTTTGTTGAGCTTCACATTTTTCACTTGATCAGTCACTTTACTTATGCTTTCAGTACCTTTGAAATGCTTAGTTTCAAAAAGATTGTTATAAGCTATAACCAGATGATCCTTATTAGCTGTCTCAGCTACATTTTTAATGCTTTCTAATAATTTATGCTCTGCAAGAAATGAACCTGAACCGTGGTCCTGCAGAAACTTGATTATGTCCTTCTTGGGCAGCTGCTCGCTGCGCAGCCGCTCCATGGTCCATGCCCGCTGGGGCACAGCGGCCACCATCTTCCCCCGCTGCTCCGCCGCACTCTAGCAGAGTTGTTCTGGATCATTGTTTTTGCTTTCAACAGTACCAGGGATCAGGCCGAGGCCTGCCCCATGCTAGGCAAGCTCTGTGCCACCCAGCTCTGTCCTCAACTATTTTTTTCCTCTCTACCTTTCCTTTGCTTTTGACTGCCTCCCCATTCACTCTCCCTCCCTCCCTCCCTCTTTCCTTCCTTGCCTCCCTCCCTCCTTCCTTCCTTTCTTCCTTGTCCCTTCCTCCCTTCCGAGATGGAATCTCTGAGTTGTCCAGGCTGGCCTTTAAGATCCTCCTGTCTCGGCCCCTCAGTAGCAGGGATTATGGGCAGTCGCCATCAGGCCCACCTAACGTCTTTAAGAAATATGTGGTTTCTTAGATTTCCTGAAATGGTTTATTCTAAACAATTCGTCTCTACTTGGAAGCTAAATTATCTTGCTGGGACTAACACTGTCACTAATTGAACTGTGGCACAAACGCTGTACTCAATAACTTTGCTACCTTTTATTCATAAACTACAGGATTTTTTTCCCACAATTTTACAGTATCCACTAAAATCTCTCTAAGTATTCTCCTACAGTCAAAAGGTAAATTCTTTTATCAAAATGATCTTGTTTTCAAGATAACTTGGTAGGGTGGGGCTCTGGCCTTTGTGTGTCCCAAGCCAGACTCTGCCTTTTGAGGTAGGCTCGTTTCCTTGGGGAGTGGCGGGTGGCGCTTAGCTAGGGCTGTGCATGGGGAGGGCTCTGCTGTAGACGCTGAGGACCATGTACAGTGCCGAGTAACCTAACCACTTTGGGGCGGTTGCCACCACTCTGGGGATTTTCTGTAGCACACAGGCCTGGTTGTTTCCTTGTCCAGAAAAGTAACAGGGTCTTCAAAAAGTCTGCCGCAGAAGGGCAGCATTCTGTGGTTCTTCCAGTCAAACAGATCGTTGCTGCAGAACACTTGCTGGGTCTGAAAAGTACCACAGTCCTGAGGGTGAAGTAAGGAAAACCCTAGATTAGCTAATTCTTGGAAGATCCATTAATCTCCCAAGTAGATTCCTTTTTATTTTTTAAATTTTACTTATTTGGTACATGGTCTCGTTACGCAGCTCAGACTCATATTGATCCTCCTGCCTCAGCCTCCCCAGCACTGGGATTACATGTGTGCACTACCATGCACGGCACGCAGCACTGATTTTCCTGTAAGCTCAACACTGAACCCAACCCTTGACTTTGATTCAGTTCTTGTTCAGTTCAGGTTTCAGCAGAACTGTAGAAAGAATTAAGTTCATGAACTGAGGACCTACTGTATTACAATAACCATCTATGTCAGGGAAAACCCAGCTATGTGTAGTAAAAATATCAAAGTTCGAGTATTTATACCTTTAGAGAGAGAGAGAGAGAGAGAGAGAGAGAGAGAGAGAGAGAGAGAGAGAGAGAGAGAGTGTGTGTGTATCTCAATGAAAACTAACTAGTGTAAATAGGGAAATTATTCGTTTCAAATTTAACTTTGTAAAGGGCCGGGGAGATAGCTCAGTGGAATATGTGCTTGCCTGGCAAGCGCAAAGTCCTGAGTTTGGTCCCTGGTACCACCAAAATGAAAATAAAAATAAAATAAAATTTAACTTTATAAACTCAGCGTATAGTTTCATATGAAGTTTAAGCTTAAAAATCACAGCAATTCTGTGAAAAGAGGTTAATAAAAGTGTTCAAAATTAGAAGATGGAAGGTGAACAGAAGTCAGTAGATGCATGAATCTCTAGGTACAAGGTGATCATATTTGTACCTTCAAAAGGATGTTGGAACTTCCATTTTGTTATGTTTTTGCTTTAGTGTCTTGTACAGCCTTAGATGAAATGTAGCAATTTCTCGGTGAAGTTACCTTTCCTTTTAAATTGGAAAAATAATCCTCCTCAGCTAGGAGAAAATGAAATGATGATTGATGGCGAAACAAACGATGCTTTTGTCTTTCAGACCTGAAGACTACCGGCTGTAGGAGGCTGGAAATTACAGCAAATGCCCAGGCTGAGGGCTGCTTCTCCCGCTGGCCCCCCTCCCCCAGGATGTGGCGAGGAAGACGCCGCTCCCAGTCACCAGGACGGCCGGGGGGCTGAAATCACAGTGAAACACTTTACTTTATAGATGGGTGTGTCATAAATGTTATGGGCTGGGGTTAGGGCCCAGTGGCACAGCGCCTGCCTGACAAGTGCAACGTCATGAGTTGGATTGCCACACCCACCCCCAAAAATGATATAAGTGATTGTAATAAAACTGTTTGGTTAACATGCACTGATACAGCATTGTGGTTATGAGTCATAAAACATTGCGTACCCGTGTGGAGTTTCCCAGGGCCCAGGTCACCGTTCCTGCTCTGTGCGCAGGCCCCCTTTGCTTTCCCTCTCTTTGGCTGTTTCATTCAGCCTCTCACGTGTCTGAGCTCAGCTCTCCTGCTCAGTGTGGTAAGGTTAGCTCTGAAGCCCTTATGAACTGCTCTCAGGTCTCTCTGGATCCCAGGTAGACCCTTGGTCTGCATGGCAAGAAAATAACACAGTAGTCCTATCAGGCTACCCTGCTGAGCAGGGGTGATATCTGGGGTGTCCTGCACTGAGCCTCTTCTTTCTCCTGCCCCTGCTTGGGTCCCACCATAATGCCAGGAGTTGGGAAACAGCATCACATCCTCATCCCCAGGGCCCTCAGGTGCCTACCAGTGAGCAATCCATTTCATAGATGGAGGGGCTGTGGAGAGACCTGTGAGGATGGGGGCTGGGCACCGGGGTGCTGCTGGAACCTCAAGCTACAGCGAGACAGAACCATGGTGTAGCAGTGTCGGCGAGGCCAAAGGGAACGTGAGCTTGTAAGAACACTGAGGATGCTCGCAGCAGAAGAGCTCTCGTCCAAGAACACTGCGACAAAGACAGAAGATAACCTGTGCGTTGTTGCTGTGCACATGTGCGGTGCGCAAACCAGCACCAATAAACAAGCCAAAGTCAGAGCAGGCCTAACTGGCCCTATACCAGGCAACTGTTGCACTACAGGTTTACACCAGGTAAAGGTGAAAAATCACTGCCCGGCTGAGCATAAGGCCCTGGGAGGAATATTTCCTACCTTTTCTCTCGCACCACTGTGCCCAAGTGTGTCACCCTTTGTGTTTTGTCCTGCTGTGTCCCAGCCAGCGATACTGCAAGGTTTTGAAACAGGAAAAAATGTGTTACAACAGCATGTGGAACCAATATGAGCACCTTGGAAACGTAGGCGACAACACTGAAAAGAAAGAAGCACCTGTGTGACTTTTAATCACCTCCTCAGAAGGACTGACCCCCAAAAAGCACTGTCGTCACTGAAGATCACTGCACCTGTCACCTGTGTCACCCAGCCTCTCCTGGGTCCACAGACACCTGCATCACAAGAGGGCGCACTTAAAACAGGTGGATTTTTGGCTTAAACGCATTTGGGGAAATGACTCCAGCCCGTAGGCTACAGCTGTCTTTCCATGCCTCCACTTCTCCCCAAAAGCCATGACCACATACGTAGTTGGAAGTTTGTCGTGGGGTACAGAGGGCCATTCCTCCTTGCTGATCAGAACAGTGCTGCATGCGCCCAGGTATTTGTGCATTCATTAGGAATGTGTGGGGTTGAGAACTCTAGTTACCTCCTCCACAGTCCTAAGCACCACTCACTCCCCATCCCCAGCAGATCTGGCCAAGAGGAGATGCTGCCCTCTGCCACCAGGTTGGGGACCCCCCCCCCCAGTGCACCTTATGGAACTGTGCAGAGCATCTTCATCAGCAGGCATAGAGCATCTCAGGCGTGCAGTCAAGACTAAGCAGCAGGGCAAGGTAAACTCAACTTCAAAGCAGGTCTTTACACCTTTGCCCGGAGGAGTTTCGTGACTCCAGCCAAATTTCTGCTCTAAATCAAGCTGACCCCTGAGAGCTGATTGGTGAGATCCATAAATGTCTCTTGGTTTAGAAGACCGGCCGCGTGCCGCTCCAGAGGCCTGGTTGGTGGTACTGAAGCATTGCTGCCATCTTAGAAAGCCATTGGAGAGCAGAATTCTATTTTATTTAAAAGGTTTAATGTGAGTGATGGAGGTTTTCCAACAAGTGCACGTCAGTTACAGCTGCCAGGCTCAGGTCCGGGCCCCTGTGGCTGGCTCCTTCTGAGCCAGGTCGAGCCGCTGCGTGGTCCTCTCTTGTTTCTATGCTGCATTCACCAGTTTGCTTTTCTGCCTTCTGGGAAAGAGGTTCAGCGGCGCATTGCACCAAGAACAACACTAAGCATCCAGGTCTCCTGGCTCCTGATCCCTCCATGGAACAGGTAGCAGGGGCTCAATCTGCAAAGCCGAGCAGCCCCTGGAGGACTTCTGCCGCCAAGCCCTACAGTACGGAGTTTAGATTGGATCAGACCCTGCTGCACAAGGAAGGGATTTTCCAAGACACATGCTGAAGCTTTGCTTCAGCTTAAATGCAAGCTCCTGCAGAATGGTATTTCTCCTCTGCCCTGAACACCGAACACGAGAGAACTGAGTAGTTTTGTAGCGATACTGCCTCTTGGGCCTTCACCTCAGACTCTCACCTGAGATTCGTGCCAGTCGAAGAGGTGGTCCGCTCCACCCAAGGGCAGCTTTCAGAAGACCACCTGCCAGGCTAGTCAGGGTATGTTTTCCACTCAAAGAGACAGGACCTCTGCAGAGACACTCATTTGAAACCTCGATTTCAAACAAAACTGTACTTCAAGATTTCACTCGGCTCTCCCAGCTCTTGTGCTTCCATTCCCAAGTTAATACCTGTTAAAGCCTTGCACATGGCATCTGGCTCTGGCCGGATACCTGCACTTTATTGGCAATATCACCTAGGCCTGGCTCATCAGCCCACGTAAACCACTTCAAGTCAAGACTGCAGAACGATGACGCCCTTCGCTGTCGCCTTCAGCAATCACAAAACTGAAAGGAGTCTGGCTGTTCAGAGGAAACCAAAAGGACAAGGCATCTGTCTTTACATTCTGGCAGAGGCACGCAGTCCAAATAAAATGTTTGTCTAGCTTCTTAGAAGAGCGTTACTGGATGCTTCACTGTTTGTGCCCCATTTCCACAGTGTGGGGGCAAAGCCAGCAACTCGGGAGAGGTGAGTGTGTGTGTTTCTCAGTAAAGTGGACCTGGGACCTGCACCTTGGAGCAGTAGGTGCGCAGCCACTCCACGGTCGGTATTAACAAGGTCCAGCTGCAGTGTTTCACTGCCGTTCAACCAACATTGACATCCCAACACTGGACACCTACAGCTCTTCTAAAGTGCTTGAGATCCATACTCCTGTATAAGTAAAACCAAGTTCCTTCTTGTCACAGAGCTACATCTGAGTGAAGAATAGCAGATAATTTACATAATATATAAGTTAAATCAAATTTGAAATACATCTTCAGTTTATCCCCACCTCAGAATCTGCCATATCCAGCGTGTGAGTCATCTTCGTTACCTCCCAATTTGTGTGGGTCAGGAATCTGGCATAAGATAGCAGGGCTCTCTGAAGCCTACAAGCAAAGTGCTGACCAGGAAGGCTATAGTGGTTGACAGCGGTTATCACTCTGACTGGATCAGAAGACTTCTGGATGGTGACTACGGTTTATATCTAGATGAGTCCCCCAAAGCCTCAAGCACTCATAGGTGCTTGGATCTGTGGATCCAAGGTGGATGGATCTTGGAGGCATGATACCAGAGAATGAGTCCACTGCTGAGCTTATAGCTACAAGTCATGCTGGGAGGCGAGGAGGTGGGCCACAGGTCACGTGGCCTGGAAGGCTCTCCCTCCCTCCCCCCTTGGTCCCTCTCCACCTCCTGTCCACCCTGCCGTGGACTATTTCTCCTCTGTGGGGCCACCTGCCAGGCCACCCTGCCTTGGAGCCAGCCCACTATGGGCCTAAACCTCTGCAGACTGTGAGCCAAAGTAATCCTTTCCTCCTTGAGACTGTGGGTGGCCTCTTGGGCTTTTTCCTGCTCACTTCCTGGCTGCCATAGGTTGAACAGCTTCCCCTCTGCCATCCTCTTCCACCATGCTGTTTCTACCTGGGAGCCAGAAAAAGCGGGACTCAAATCTCAGATCCCTGAGTGTAGCTGTTTCTCTGCATTGAATGTGTCAGACACTTAATCCTGAGGTGGAAAGATGACTCAGCAAAGTGCTTGGTGAGGGAGGGGTCCATGTTCAGGCTGTTCTGGGGCTGGTGGAACGCCTTTCCCTCTCTTTAAAGCCCTGAGGGTCGCATTTCCTGGCTGGCTTCATCTGGGGGCTGTGGCAGGCTTTCTGCTGCAGAATGCAGCCTGCGGAAGAATGCGGCCTGCTCACATGGGCCTTCCCGCCTCACCACTTGCTTCATGCCAGCCAGCAGGCTAGAAAGGCTTTGTAGGCCAGTGAATGCTATGACAGAGAGTAGTGGAACCACATCTGACCATCACAAGCCAACCGTGCCCTGCCCACTCTCCAGGGAGACCATCGGCCTGTCACCTCACCACAGAACTACCTCGGGTTCTGATGTCTAAGAAGTCTCTGTGGCCAACCCCTTCTTACCTCAGTGAAGGTAGCGGGTGTGTGCAGCCACACAGCCTGTGGACCACTTGCCCATTGCCCTCCTCTGATTAAAGGTTCTGATAGGAATATGAAACATAAGAGAAGATTCATTGCTTCCCTACATGAATTATTTAATATATTTATTTGTGGCCGAAGGCAGCTCTTCTCTGCTCAGGTGGCCCAGCAAGGCCAGAAGTTTGGACACCCATGGGAGATGGGACCACGCCCACATCAGCTTTTCTGCACCTGAGCACTTACACAGCACACAAAATGCCACGGTTTCTCCCTTCTTAAAGATATTTTTCTTGATTCCGCTTTGTGGTCAGTTACCCTCCCCTATTTTCTTGCTCATTTTTGCAGCAAAACTAATCCAAAAAGTGGGAAATCCTTAGTTTCTCTAAGTTTTTCTTTTTTCTTAAATTCCCTCAGACTTTTTCCCTTTTGTTCTGTGTAGCCCGTGCTTGCGGTACACGATGTTCACGCTCCCCTGGGGAGCCATTGTGTGTGGCTGACCCATCCTCATGGCCCTTGACACCGTTCTCTCCCCTTCCTCTCCCTCCCCATCTCTTGGTCCCCTTCCCTTTGAGCAAGTGCTAGCTCCCTACCTCCTCCTAGCTGTCTTTCACCTTGTGCTTTCCTTATATTTGGCTTCCTCCTAGAAGGGAAACCATGCAAAATCTAAGCTTCTGGGTCTGATTATTTCCCTTAACGCGATGGCCTCCAGGTGCCTCCACT